TTCACATAATTTGTTATTTCAGTAAAAAAATGTAGTGCTTTTAATTATTATTTTTTAATAAAAAAAACTAAGAAAACATGATAGTAACAATAAATGTTAAATATTTAAATTAATCATCTTACTTAATTATAATTTAATCTAAAATTATAGTTGTTTTAATTATACTTACCTGTTTATTCTTAGTGAACAGTTTTGTTGCTCTTTTTAAAGTTTTGTAAAGAGTATGCATGCATATATTTAATCGTAAATGAAACATTTATCTCATAAAATAATTTTTATTTATGCTAAGGATGTCTAAACAAATCAAATAATTATTTTTTTAAATATTAAGAGATCATAAACCTAAGATACATGCAAATTGGTAAAACTATTTGTTTATAAAAAAATTCTGAGGATATTTAATTTTTTAGTTTAATGAAATAAATTTTTCGATAAAAAAGCAGTATTTTAAAACATAAAAACTGAAAATCCCTAAACTAAAAAATTAAACTATAGCTATAGCCTCATGATCTTTTCTTACATCTAAATAAACAATTAGTGCGGCAACACGTTGTAAAAGTAGAAAAATACGAACTGGGCTAAATTAAATATTTGGCGCTTTATTAATAAAAAATAAATCGTTTATTTTAATCATATTAAAAGTAACATTTCGTATAATATTATCAAATTTAATCACGTGTATAATTTTTTAGAGGTCATCCCTACACCCTATAACTCTAATGAAAAGCTTACATTTCGACAATATCTTTTTCTATGATATCTTTTTCCACTGAACTACTTGAATAAGATTCGATATCGTCAATAGGCAGCAGCAAAGTATTATTCTTAAATTCATTAAAATTTTTATTAAACTTGGCTAAATCACCTACTTTCAATCCTAATTTGTCAATAAGGGCAGGAGTAAGACTAATAAAAGCCTCATCATCTACTGCTTCTTCTAAAAACAATTATTACTTTTAAAACCCAATATTTACTTTCCTAATGAAATATTCTACACCTGTAAATTTTTCAACTAGATGTACCAGTCCCCAACTATAGTTAACTTTACTTTCATTAACTCAAAAGACATGTTAATCTGTGACAAAATAACACTGACTTTTATAACTGACAGATCGAGCGCATTGTTGTACAATTCATACAACAATGTGCTCGATCTGTCATTTATAATGTTATTTAACAGATATATCTGCCGCTATAGCGGCAAACAGTAAAAATTTTACTTCTATCAAAATTATTACGGTTTTTCTCGATAAAACCAATAAAAACTAACTAATAACGTTTATAAATTTGTATAAAAAGCACAAACTTACAGCACGATAATTGCAATTACATGTAAACAGGCTTATAAAAAATCGAACAGATCAAACAGACCTTGTTTGGATTGTGCTGACAATAAGCTGATAAACACCCTTTATGATCTTGAAATTTATGAATCACATTAGTAGTTAGGAAGAAAAAATATACAACTTGTATTTACAAGATGTTTAAATATTACTCTGTGTCATTAAATTTTATAAATAATATATTGTTTTACTTACTTATTCTAAAAATCACAAAAATCACGACCGCACTTATGCAAACATGCAATGTCTTTAAAAAACTCGTTAAATTTCCTCTGGCAGATGTCTAAAAAATAACCTTCAGAATTTAACCAAACTCTAGGTAGTTGTTTTTATAAACCTATTTAGTTATTATAACTAAATACTACAGCTGTTTTTAATTTAATATTTTTGTTATTTTCTGTAATTACAATAACTGTAAAATTGATTAAAAGAACTAACCTATTTATATGTTTCAATTAAAACATTAAGGTATTTTTAATCTTATACATTAATATTAAATTAACCTTTTGGTTTTGCAAAATTAATTATAAATTTCGATAAATATAACAAAATTTTTTTAACTAAACACATATAATAAAAATAACTAACGCATTTTTTTTCCCTGCAGGGTAATCGCAAGTAGCACAACTGGTTAAATAACTAGCATTCTAAGTAAATTAACAAAATCTAAGTAAAATAACGGGTTTTTAAACTTATTTTTTAACCAATTAGTTGTGTTCAACCATTAACATTTTTTTAAGGTTACTATGAAACAAAAAATGCCCCTTAAATTTACCAACCGGTTGCTATTATCTTAAGGTAAATTTAAAACGCATTTTTTAGAATAATTTAACTATTAATAGAAACCTATTGGTAACATTACTAACCAGTTAAATATTTGGTTTATTTATAGAAAATAACCCATAGGTAAATTAAAAATAAAATAATTTAAGAGTTTAAATGACTATAAATAAACCAAATATTTAGCTAATATTACTAATAAGTTAAAAAGTATGTTATTTTTAAAGTTACGTTTTATCAACTTCTAATTTTAACTTTGAAAATGGTTAAACCAGTTATTTTTTTGGACATATTTTGGTTTAGTTTAAACAACCATTAACAATTTTTTAAGGTTACTATGAAACAAAAAATGCCCCTTAAATTTACCAACCGGTTGCTATTATCTTAAAGTAAATTTAAAGCGTATTTTTTAGAATAATTTAACCATTAAAAGAAACCTATTGGTAATATTACTAATCAGTTAAATATTTGGTTTATTTATAGAAAATAACCTATAGGTAAATTAAGGATAAAATAATTTAAGAGTTTAAATTGACTATAAATAAACCAAATATTTAGCTACTTAGTAATATTACTAATAAGTTAAAAAGTAGGTTATTTTTGAAGTTACGTTTTATCAACTTCTAATTTTAACTTTGAAAATGGTTAAACCAGTTATTTTTTTTGACATATTTTGGTTTAGTTTAACTTTTTGGTAAATAACCACAGCTTTGGTTAATTTGGATATATTTATATATTTTACCAAATATATTTTAACTCGCTGGTAAATTAACGTTAATTAATAAACTGGTTAAAAAGTGATGGTTTTATAGTTTTCATTGTTACCTGCATAGAGTTAGTCTCAATACATAAGGTTTTGTATTGGTTTTTGTATAAAGAGGCTAAAAGAAATAATTTTAAAAAATATAGACTTTTTTCAACTTACCATATAAAAGTTAACAAAGTTGTAAATAATTATTTATCTACAAATCTTAAAAAACAGTCCCCTCACATTTAATTAATTTGGCAAGCATCTATAGGTTTTATCACAGAACAGATGCATTTTATAAAATAAAGCAGGATGCAACTGAAATCAGAGCGTAAGATCAGCGGGACTTTTTTTTAAGTTTTTTTAATTTTTTCAAAGCACGTTTAAAGTATAATATAAACTGATCGAAAAAAGTTAAGGATATTGTGAATTCTCTGAGAAAAAAATAATTTTCAAAAAAATTTGTATAACCTACATTTACTCTCATCTCTTTTAGAAATAAAACACATTTGTTTAACTGAAAAAATATTTTAATTAGAATTTACAGGCAACTTTTCTCTTACAATGTAACAAAACCGATAATTATCAAAAAGAAAAAAATGATTAATAGCGTGTAATTCCACCTCTGTTGGCTATTACTGCTTCAACTCGGCGAGGCATGCTTAAAACTAAACTATCCAAGTCATTTTGATCCAAGGTATCCCATAAATATGGAAGAACTTGCCTCAGTGAACTTACGTCCTGAACAGGAGGTTGATGGGCAATTAGTGCCCTTCCGAGCATGTCCCAACCATGCTCGATGCAGTTTAAATCTGGAGAGAGCGTTGGTAATGGCAAATGATTAATTTCATGGAATGCTAGCCGTTTTTGTACTACCCTGGCTCTGTGCGGGCGAGCGTTATCATCCAGAAATCTGAAATTGGGCTCCAAATTCCAACGATAATCGCTGCAAATAGAGTTCGTATTACTCCTAGGGCGGTTTTAAATCGATTAAATGAAGCAGGTTTACATTGCTATAGGCCTATAAGACGCCCTCCATTGATCGCAGTTCATAGAGCTCAAAGTTTGCTTTGGTGTAATGAACTGGAATGATGAGTGGCGTACTGTGATGTTTAGCGATGAAAGCCGCTTTGGTCTTCGTGCTGACAGAATTACAGTTTGTGTCTGGGGACCAAGAAATTCAAGAGTTAATGACCAGTATGGTCAAGAAGTGCATCCATTTGGAGGTGGAGGTGTAATAGTCTGGGGTGGAATTTTCTACGGAGGTCGAACGGAGTTGTATGTTTGTGAAGGTACCATGACAGGTGAAATTTATGCTCACGACATCATTGATAACATTGTGGATGATTATCGTTGAAATTTGGAGCCCAATTTCAGATTTCTGAATGATAACGCTCGCCCGCACAGAGCCAGGGTAGTACAAGAACGGCCAGCATTCCATGAAATTAATCATTTGCCATTATCCCCGCTCTCTCCAGATTTAAACTGCATCGAGCATGGTTGGGACATGCTCGGAAGGGCACCAATTGCCCATCAACCTCCTGTTCAGGACGTGAGGCAAGTTATTCCATATTTATGGGATACCTTGGATCAAAATGACTTGGATCGTTTAATTTTAAGCATGCCTCGCCGAGTTGAAGCAGTAATAGCCAACAGAGGTGGAATTACACGCTATTAATCATTTTTTTCTTTTTGATAATTATCGGTTTTGTTACATTGTAAGAGAAAAGTTGCCTGTAAAGTTTAATTAAAATATTTTTTCAGTTAAACAAATGTGTTTTATTTCTAAAAGAGATGACAGTAAATGTACGTTATACAAATTTTTTTGAAAACTATTTTTTTCTCAGAGAATTCACAATATCCTTAACTTTTTTCGATCAGTTTATATTAAAAATAGTTAAAAAACCAAAAACTACAAAAAATTACCTTTTTTTAATCAAAAGGTACATAAACCAAAAAGTTAAATTTAACTAACATTGAATTCCCCTCTTAATACAAAATAACGTTAATTTAACGTTGTAGTACCTACAATATTACTTCACCGCACACAAATTACACTAGAAAAGTATACTATAGTTGGCTCCCATGTGGCAAACAAACAATTTTAGTTCATTTTTTCTTCGTTTCAGGTTTGGTTCCAAAACCGTCGAGCAAAATACCGTAAGCAGGAAAAGCAACTGCAAAAGGCTTTGGCTCCTAGCGTGCTGCCCGGTTGCAATGGAGCCATGATGCGGAACATCTACCCGGGAGCGGCCCGCGGCTACCAGCCCTATCCCCATCCGACTGCCATCAACCGGTACCCCCAGGTCAGTCAGTCAAAAATACAAAAGGTTATCCTAATAATATCAACTCTCTAAAAATGACTAATTTAATAGTTAATAGTGGCTGCTTTTTCACTTGTACCATGGTTAACCATCGGATACCATGGTATCCCAAAATTTAACATCTAATTCTTATGTAAAATTGTCCACTGAATCCGAAAATGTCGTCAAAAGTTAAAAAACTATAAGAGTTTTTGAGATATAGTCAATTTTCAATTTAATATGGAATTAACTATAACTCAAAAACTGCTCCACTTTCATAATTTTTGACGGTATTTTCGGATTCTGGGGAAAATTTTAAACTATAATTGGCTGTTAAATTTTGGGATAAAATGGTATTCCAATAATAACTATTAAATTAGTAATTTTTGACTATTCAGAGTAAATAAAAAATATTATCTAGGTAGGTATACATTTAAATAGAGGAATGATTTATAAAAATATTACATTTTATCAACACCATTTCCATGGAGTCAAACGTACTTTTTACGATAAGATAATTTTACAAACAAAATCCGAAGGCAAATATTTTTTTTTCAATAAATATATGAAAAATGCTTTGAAAGGGGCAATAATATTTTTTTTTAATATTCAAGGCAAATAAAGGCAAAATTGTGCTTCTATATTCCAGTCACGGTGTGCCTGAACGAAGTTTAAGTCACCTAAAAATCCCGCCAAAAACTGATGGTGACTTAAAAATGATATTTACCAAAATCATAGCTGCTCCTCTTTTCGAAATTTTTTAAAAATTCATAATTTTTTAAATATTCTAAGCGTTATTTTATTTAATTTTATTAAAAATCTATTTTTTCATAAAAGGTTCATAAGAATGCCATTTTGTACCCTGATAAAAGTAGAAATATCTAAAAAAATGTGGATAATTCTTTTTTGCGTGTTTTGCCAAAATCATGAATTTACGCTTTTGCTTTATTAAAATTAAGCGATTTTTGGCTCACCCTGTATATATCAAATTATGTGAACAGTATTAAAAAGTATTCTTTAAGTCTCCTCAATAATATACTCTAATTTAAAAACAAAAATTTTAAAAAAATCGTGAATTTTCAAAAAATTTCCAAAAGAGGAGCAGCTAGGATTTTGGTAAATATAATTTTTAAGTCACCAAAGGGTCCCGAACAAGAAACTGCAATCAGTTTTTGGCGGCATTTTTATGTGACTTAAACTTCGTTCAGGCACACCGTGCAGTACAGGTAACTGGAATAGCCTTTATGTTTCTTCATGGTACACCATGACATATACTGTATGCATAACATGATACAAAGCTTTGTTTAATGCCGTGACCGAAAATAAAACAAGTAATCAGGGGAATACGTCAAATGCATTCTCGTTTCACGATTTTCGATTTGGTTGGTTAGTTAGTTTTTAGGGGATTTTAAAAAAATGTGTGACGGGGATATCAAAGGGAATTCTGTAGCGAGATGTTTCATTTTTACAAATATTTTACATACATACTTAAATATAGGCGCTCGTGATAATTTCCCCATAAATATTTTGGGTTCTTTAATTAGTTTAAAAAATGGCGAATGCGCCTGGATCAATGGCAAAATTTTAAATAAATTAAAATAAAATTCTATTTATATCAGTAATATTGTTTACAAAACACTTAATTAGTCAACAAATTGTTTATAACAACCTAAAAAATTAACGCAATTCTTGATCCAAAATATTTAAAATTTTAGAAATTGTTAAATATTTCTGGAATTATAAACTTTGGGTATAAGGAATAGTAACATCAATCGAAAGGTTTTTTAATTTACTATTTGATAATGTAAAAACATACCGGGTGTTACATTTAAAATAAAAAAGTTATCAACGTTTCAAGTTAGCCTAGGTAATTTGCCATGGTTTTTCTCAAGTAATTTGTTGAGATATCTTAAAGAATTGAAATGAAATATTTTAAACAATTTTTTAAGATTCCAAAAATTCTACCGTCATATCCGCAAATTTCTAATGGACCCGGAATGTAAAGCACCCTTTATATACCTATGTATGTATTTAATGTAATGTATTAAAACACTGAATACCTGAAGGTGTAACGAAAAAATATTTTCACAAAGATAAAGAAAAAATATGCATTAGAACAATTAAGCTAAATTTAAACAAAATCTGGCAACCATAACATAATAAATTAAATTAGGCAACCAGATTAGCCTACAGGACTATAATCGTACTTTTTGGTAGGATAAAGGTTTATTATAAATTATGTTTAGTATTAAGAATTTAGAAAAAAAACACCCTGTATATAACGTAAATAAAGTCAAAATGTGTTATTGTCATTTTTAACAATTTGACTTTTTTTTCTGCATAGATAGATAGGTATATCAAAAAACAAACATCCTTAAAGTATGTACAAAATAAAAATGCAATTAGGCAGGTAAATAAAGCGCCGCCTCATTCGGGCGACTTTGCGGGCCAATTTCGTACCTCGCCTAATGCATTTGCATACCGACGGCGGCGGCGGCGAGCGTCTGTTGCGGCGCCGCCGACCGTCGGCCGTCGCAACGCGGAAGAAGGAAAAGCCGCCGCCTCCGACCCAAACTAATCATTCAACCTGTTTGACCTCAACTAATTCACTTACACCTGCAATCGTCTAATCACGTGACGTCGACGTCGACGACAAGGTCGCACAGGATTAATTCGGTCTCTTTACGGTCCTCCTGGTGCACCCGGATTTAATTCGATTGGTAGCAGGATTAGTCCTTTTTTGATTCACACAAGTGTAAGACTTACACTGTAACTGCTACTACACCCATCATCATTTGTATTACTGCACTTCAATTAATATATAAAACTACGCACTGAGAAAAAGAAAGTGTTGATTCAAACAAAAACTGCTTGACTTAACATGTTTATACATATTAAATACAAAAGATAGTCTCAGCTCAGAAAGAGTTTCAGATTTGTTATGTTTTGAATGTTGAATTAAGCATTTTACAATATTGAATTACTAATTTTTCACTGATAATGAAACTAATTTTGTAAGCGATTAATAAAATAATATTATTTAACTTAAATTTAAAATTGTAATGGCTATAAAAAAAATGTACCACCTAAGGTACCTTTTTTATTAAATTTTCAGTGTCTTATTGGGACAAAAACCTACGATTTGTCAAAGTAATGAGATTATTTTTATTTACAGAATAAACTTTTTACTGTTAATAAAATTCTCATTTTGGTACTATAATGAAGCAGCAATGTTGAGCTTTTATAACAAAAAATGTTCATCCAACAAAGCAATAGTTGTTATCATATTGTCATGACAATAAGAAATCTTTATCTATTTTGGTTTCATAATGACTTCATTATAACACCGCTTTTGGTTCTTTAATGAGGTACTTTATTCCACCCAAAATTTTGATTTTATAGGTTGGCTACTGGTAAAATACAATTTTGAATACCTATAGGTTATAATATTTTTATGATTTGTTTTCTAGTACTTACGAGACTTTTCGTGCAATAAATTTTGTTTAACACCAAAGAAAATCCTTTTTTCTTCTTTAACAGCCGCTTATTGTAAATACTTATTGTAAATTAACGACGCCATAGCGAAAGAATGTGATAATGTTTGAAAGGTTAATGACCTTTCAAACTTCAAATTGTGATACCAACTATGTAAAGTAAAATTCCACCAAATTAAATATAAGGTATAAAATTAATTTGTTTTATGAAATGTTTGCAAAATAGATAAAATAGCATAAAGAACTCATGTCATAAGACCTTTTGTCGCACTTGTCCATTATAAAACTCGCTCCTTCGTCGCTCGTTTTATAAATTGTCCGCGTGCGACAAAATGACGTCTTATGACATTAGTTCTTTAATATACTATTATCGAACTTAAAATGTTTTTGTTAAATCTATAGTTGTGTGTGAATTGCGCTTACATAAAGTAATGCGCAGTTGTTATAGTAAAATTTGTTCATTTTACTATGGCATATTTGTCTTTTTTAAATTACTATCGTTGTAATTCAAATTAATTTTATTTCAGTTAGAAAATCTTTGTTAATAGCTTACGCTAAGAACAATAACAAAAATATTTTATTGCTATAAAAAGACTTTTTTAATATTTACTATTGTTTTGCAATGGTAACAAAATTTTTGTTATTTCCCTTAAAAAGAGGGGAAAAGGGCCAACGCTCTCCTTGGTGAACATACACAGTCTGTGTTATAATCTTATTGATTTTACTTGTGCGAGTGAAGTGATAAAAATATCAAAAAGATTACTATGGCGTGCCATTTTACTTTTTAATTGTATAAAAATATTTATTAGAAAGAAAATTATCTAAAAAAATAATTCCAACAGAAAAAGCAAAATGACTTCGTAATATGCCAATTAAAATGATAAAATGATAAAAAAAATGCTGCATTTTTATTTCTGTTGTTATAAATTTGTATATTTTGCTTTACCCAATTCTTTTTGTGTTCAATATTTTTTTGACACGATTTTACTCTGTTAATTTTTTTTCTCAGTACATTATACAAATGCAAACTTTAATATTATTACATTAAACAATTTTAATTCTAGGAATTAAAATTCTTGGTAATTTTTATTCTACCAATTAAAATTATGACTTTTAAAATTATGTCTTTACATAATTTTAATTCGGCGCTGCCGTTGGTGCGGTTGAGTTTGTAACTATAAGTAGTTCCACTGCTCTACTAGTGCATCTTGAGATTGAGAACTAGATAGGCAAATGCGCAACATGTGGTTCATATGTACTACCCAAGAGGAGCGCTTAAACCATAGAAATAATACTTATTATTTCTATGGCTTAAACTAACTAAAAAACTGGGTTGCCTACTTCGAAACGTCATAAATTTGAATTTGTGTGGTTATGTTAGACGTTATTTTAAATAATAATCTTAGCTTTTTGGGGCCGAGGATGGCGCAGTGGGTTAAGCTACAGAGCGGTAAGCAATCTGCGTCTAACGGTACCGGGTTCGATTCCCGGTCACAGCCTTGGGTGTTGTAGTTGTTTATTAAACAATAATAATAATAATCATGAGCTGGCTAAATAGTCTTAAAAAGACTAAAAGTCAATAAAAAAAAAAAAAAAAAAAAAAATCTTAGCTTTATTTACCGCCATGAATTTTAAGTTAAATATTTAAATATAACGTTTTAAGCCTGATTTATAGATTGCCTTCCTTACTTCCTCCCGTAAAACTTAAACAATACCAAAACCGTAGTGCTGTTTATAGATTCCCGTACGGATAGTGGTAGTTCATATGCACAGTGCATAATGCACTACATAAGCGCTCCTCTGCCCAAGCAATTTCACCTACCACTGTTGTCATTTTTGGCCGCTGTACCGCAGCGTCAAATTAAAATTATGTAAACCATAATTTTAAATGGTAGAATAAAAATTCAACAGAATAATAATTCAGTAAATTAAATTTATAAATAGCACAAGAAAAACTCAATATACTTAAACAATAATGAAAATGAATCAAAACATTTAAAGCATAAAAAGAACTCGCCCACAAAATAGATGTTCAAATAAAAATTCGTAAAATAAATTTACGACAGCAGGATAAAAGAACGCTAGCATTGCATGTTAAATTGAAAATACCTTTATCTTAATAAAAATTGGTAGAATTTTAAATAAGTCAAATGATAAATTATCTAAAGAAAAATAATCTTCCATTAAAAATATTTTTGGACGTGTCAAAATATAATTCCCCACAGAAAAATTGTTCAAAACTTTAATACCTTGCAGAGAAATGCATTATTTTTTTCAATGTAGAATAAAAATGAATTAAAATTATGTTAACGATAAAAATAATTCAATTTCGTGCCTATACTTTTCCATGTATCATGATTTTTTTTTATGTCTAGACATAATTTAAAATCCATTTTTGTGCTCGTTGCATAATAAAAATTGACTTGTCGTAGTGTTTTAATAATTTTTATTCTTCTTGGCCATTTTTATTTTACTTTGAATTTTTCTGGTATTAAAAAGTAAAACGGCACGCCATAGATTACTAAGACAATTAAAATTTTGACGTTTTCTAAAAGAAATATTTAAGGTCTATTCTATAAACGAAGCGGACTTGTTGTTTAAAAAGTCACTTCATATTTTTTTATTTTGTTCATCATATAATATGAGTTAATTTTTTTGTTATAATAAATAGTTTTAATGACTTGCAATTATTAAAAAAACTACCCAACACCTAACAGTAGGTTAAAAATGTGACCATTGTTACAATGAAAATAGTTAATTAGTTAATTAATTGTTAATTAACAATTAATTTGTTGATAAATTTACATAAATTCTATTAATATTATAAAAAAAGTTTTATTTTAAACGAAAAGGGATTTGTAAAATTAATTTACAAAATTTCTGTTTTAATGGACAAATAATAATAACTATATTTATAAATGCGTTTCTGCAAAGTTTTATTTTTATAAACATAACATAAATTTACTTTATAATTAATGCAAATGCTATTACTGAAAGCAGCGTTTGTAGATAAATAATTTTTATAAAAATGATCTTTTTGGCGTAACAAAAGCAATTAATTGTTGGACGAATAGGAATACTAAAGTAGGTACTTACTTAAATGTAGGTATAGGTACCACATATAACATAGGAGTGTTAATCAAAACACAGAAAATAAAATCTTCGTCCATCAGGACATTTGTCACACAGTGTGACTCACACTAACGAAGTAAATGTATGCGATGCACCGTAAACGAAAAGCTTGGAAAGCTTTCAAAGCTTAGCTTTGTCATGTGCTCCTAATATTGGTTGACAAATGTAAGGTGATTAGGGATGTCAACTTTTAGAAAATAACCGGTTATCGGTTAAACCGGTTTTTATTAATAAGGTTATAACTGCGGAGGTTTAACTGAACGTAAATAACCGGTTTTTTCAATAACCGAACAACCGGTTTTCATACAAAAATTGCACTGCGCCTCAATTTTATTTGATTTTGAAAAATATTTCCACACATCAGACATGATGCCTGCAAATTCTTGAAACAACTAAACTGTGGGTTTCACCGAACCGCATATCAAAGTCACCAACAAAAATTTGTTAGGACGGTTATTAATAATAATAACTTATTATTTCAGTGATAGATGGCCCATGTTCGTTTTTACCGTTACAGAAGATTTCTTTTTTCAGTTGTCATGGTAACTAGCAGACAGTTCTGTTAACTCTATCGAAACAACGACGAATCTATTTTAAATAAAATTACCAAAACATTTTTTTTGTTAATATTTATATACATGTATGAATGTATTTAAATGAAATTATAATTAAGTGAAATATAGATTTCATTAAATTTACTACTACTGAGCTATCTTGCGTTGAATGGTCAAACTATACAAGGTATAGGAAACTGTAACAATCTTGCAGAGATGCCAACCGACATTGTGGCACCTAAACTTTAGGTAGGTTTTGGTCAAGGATGATAAAGTGACATTGAAAACATTTTCATGTAGTGCACGCAAAATAACAAGAATTGATGCGGTTTTTTTGGCCGGTTATTGAATTTTAAAAATAATCACCGGTTTTAACTGTATTAAAAAAAAACCTAAATAAACCGGTGTTACGAAACAAAATAACCGGTTACTCGGTTTAACCGACGGTTTATTGACATCCCTAAAGGTGATGCGATATGGTGCAAAAAACAATATATTCAGAGTAGTCAAGCTCCAATCCTTTCAATATTTAAATACTCGAACTTTTTAAACATATTTGTAGACTGACGCACGTTTTTTAATAAATTAATTTTACAATAAAATTAAAAAAAAAAACAATGTTAGAAAAGTTAACCTCAAAACCAAAACACATCCGTCAGTAATACTAATTAAGGTTACACTGTAAAAAATAATTAACACAAGTCTACACGCCCCAACACCAAAATGTGTTATTCCAAGTCCATACGAAATCGTGTAAAATTTTAACACAGCATCAGTGTGTTGATTTGTTTTTTATATCGTGTAATAATTTACACGAAGAATAATTAAACTTTAACACATTGTTTGTGTAATTTTTACACAACTTTAGGTATTAAATTTAACAACAGATGGTGTTATTGTTTAATATTTTAGCGTATTAAATTTTACACTAAATTTGGTATAAATAAAAATTACGTTTAAAAAAATACTTTTATTAAAAAAAATATTTTATAATTTCAATTAGACAAAATATTATATTATAATATTGTTAAAAACATTTAAAAAAAGTAATAAAGGAAACAAGATCATTTTAATTGTTTAAAACTTACTTACCTAAAAAAGATAAAATGTCATGTGTTTGGCAAATTTGTTGTTACCCACTATGTCCTGAAGGGGTAAGAAACAAAAGGAGAAATTTTACACGATATTTGTTAAAATGTACACAACTTTGTGTAACATAACACGATATTTATTACATATGAGTTTATAACACAGTAACGTACGTGTAAATTAACAAGTGGTTACACATTTTAGTGTTGATTCCCAATTTAGGAACATTCGTGTAAAAGTATTTACACGATTTTTACACAAAATTTACACAAACATTTTAACACAAAAAAAGAGAATTTACACACTGATATTTTTTGCAGTGTAGTTCACATTACGGTTCGTAAAGTTTGTTGTTTTTATTGCAGATGACAACAAGTTCGTACCCAGGCATGGCGCAGTCATTTTCGATGTCCCATGGCACAAATATGTCCTCTGTAACAGGAATGAGGCAGGATGCAATGAGTAAGTATCTATAATAACGTTTATTAGTTATTAGAACTGTTAATAAATTTTTAAAAAATCATAAATTTGACATAACATGGCAAACAATTGCTTATGCTGCAAATCTCACCCGTGACAAAAATGGAAGGTAATTTAGCCAGGGATGTCAAATATTTCCGTTGGGAAAGTTTGTAAAAAATGCAGTCGAATAGGAAATTATATCGTTCTTGCGGAAGACGTTGGGGACGAAGGAGTGAAGGCAAGATGAAGATGACGCCTTCGTAAGATGTTCCATTTCCTTTGCGAAATAGATTTTTGGTCACAGATATCATAAGACCCGAATTGAACATCCTTAGGCGGAATTAAGATTTTAGTTTGAAGGAACTAAATCAAAAACATAAAATATAGAATTTTTCCCTTTTATTTCTAGGGACTAAAAGCACATTATTTAGTAAAAAAAAACTATATAATAAACATAATATATTCCCTGCATAACAACAGGAATAACGAACTCATTCTTTACGTTGCTAGGCATCAGTGATTGGCCCATTTTAATATTCAATATTTATTTATTTTTGAAAATCATTTAGTTATCTACTTATTGGAGCATACTCCAATCCATAGATAAAGCATAGTATTACACTCGAGATTATGCGCATTACCTCTCGTAAAATATATATATAATATAGGTACTATTATAGTATAATTTTACTGCCAATTTAATACGAGTATTGTATGCAACCCATTATACATTTTAAGATGTTAGATTAATATTTAAAAAAAGCACCGTCGCGGAGGTCGATTCAAATGACATTTGATTTGATCATCAAATTACATTTGATTTAATATTAGTCAATATTAGTTATTAGTATTATTAAATGTGATTTCGGATAAAATTTACTATGCACCTCGGCATTAAAGTCATTTTTTATCACTCACGTGGTTTTTTTTATTGAGAATAATATCTAAATAGTTACAAGAACTTTGACAGATATGTGTTATATTAGCAATAATATATATTTAGATGTTTAAATAATAGCAATAAATAGTATAAATAATATAAAAAACAGCAGTAAACAAGAAAAAAATACACATTAGATTAGGGTGTTTTGCCTTCTGTTTATAATAAAGAATTTTTTAATTTCCACATTCCTGATAAAAAATAAGACTTTACTGCCTTGATACATAAATAACTATTATTACTTCAATAAAATGTATAGTTCAAAAGATATAGAGCATTAAAAAAAATTTTAGTTAACTAAAATTATATCAAAATTTTATTTATTTTTATCAATAGTTAAAAATTAAAATTTATTAAATGCTCTTTATCTTCTAAAATAAATCTTTTATTGCATTAATGCAAAAACCCATTTTTGTAGGAAATTAGATTTTCTATAAATGTTTTGTTTACTTTTTACCTTTGGTTTTAACCGTTTTGCCGTAAAACAACATAGGACCAATTAGTTAAATCAATATTTAACAGTAAAATTTATTAAATGCTTTTATATTTTTTGAACTATGCGTTTTATTTCCTTAATCCATATGACTTTTTTGTAGATAATTAAATTGTATATACAATTTTTTTTACTCTTTACCTGTAACTTTAAACGTAATGTAATACAGGGTGTTATGTAATTAATGTTATATATTAAAATACTGAATACCTTTTGACATAAGGAATAAAGGAAAAATATTTAAAAAAAAGATAAAGAAAAAATATGCATTAGAAGTTTTTTATATTTTTTGTGATACGCCACTGGTTACACACTTGTTTATCTCTGCACACCTGTATTTTCTGAGTACATAGATACCACCCAAACAGCACACAACATCCTTAAGACGTCTTGTTTATGTCTTAATAAGGTCTGAACGTCTTAAGACCTAAAAACGACGTCTTAAAGACATATTTGAGAAGACGTCTTAAAACAAGCAATTTAGTAACGTCTTAAAGACGTCTTTTTAAAGTCTGTTTCGGGATATAAACTATCTAGGATCTACCTGCTGTACTGCAATTTGTACCCGCGGCGTTTACTTTATTAAGATCCCCTGTATAAATTAATTAATTACTTTCTTTAACTTTTGAATACATTTAAAGACTTAGTAAGGACGTCTTAAAGGCGTATTTTTGAAGACGTCTTAAAGATATGCAATTTGGGATATCCTAAAGACGTCCATGAAAGCCTAGTTTGGGACATTTTAACCTAACTGCCTATTGAGAAACTCAAAAAAATGTACACCCATACAAAACTATCTGTTTATGTGAAGTGTAAGAATTTGCTCTATATATACTAAATACTTATGTTTAACAGTTTAGATAGGTACTTTTATATCAACAATCTCTCTATTTTAATATTATTTGATACCAATGGTAATTTTAAATTTAGCGCGCTTCTATTATTTCCCTCTTGTGGAATTTTCCTTAAATACAAAACTGGACAACGTTGTCAGATCGACTAATTTTTAGCAGATCTACAACAAATTAAATATAACAACAAAATGTATTCAATAAAATATTAAAACTTACAGCATTTGTAATCAGGGCCTGTATAGGCAATTTTTTTTCTCGTAAAATATATATATAATATAGGTACTATTATAGTATAATTTTACTGCCAATTTAATACGAGTATTGTATGCAACCCATTATACATTTTAAGATGTTAGATTAATATTTAAAAAAAGCACCGTCGCGGAGGTCGATTCAAATGACATTTGATTTGATCATCAAATTACATTTGATTTAATATTAGTCAATATTAGTTATTAGTATTATTAAATGTGATTTCGGATAAAATTTACTATGCACCTCGGCATTAAAGTCATTTTTTATCACTCACGTGGTTTTTTTTATTGAGAATAATATCTAAATAGTTACAAGAACTTTGACAGATATGTGTTATATTAGCAATAATATATATTTAGATGTTTAAATAATAGCAATAAATAGTATAAATAATATAAAAAACAGCAGTAAACAAGAAAAAAATACACATTAGATTAGGGTGTTTTGCCTTCTGTTTATAATAAAGAATTTTTTAATTTCCACATTCCTGATAAAAAATAAGACTTTACTGCCTTGATACATAAATAACTATTATTACTTCAATAAAATGTATAGTTCAAAAGATATAGAGCATTAAAAAAAATTTTAGTTAACTAAAATTATATCAAAATTTTATTTATTTTTATCAATAGTTAAAAATTAAAATTTATTAAATGCTCTTTATCTTCTAAAATAAATCTTTTATTGCATTAATGCAAAAACCCATTTTTGTAGGAAATTAGATTTTCTATAAATGTTTTGTTTACTTTTTACCTTTGGTTTTAACCGTTTTGCCGTAAAACAACATAGGACCAATTAGTTAAATCAATATTTAACAGTAAAATTTATTAAATGCTTTTATATTTTTTGAACTATGCGTTTTATTTCCTTAATCCATATGACTTTTTTGTAGATAATTAAATTGTATATACAATTTTTTTTACTCTTTACCTGTAACTTTAAACGTAATGTAATACAGGGTGTTATGTAATTAATGTTATATATTAAAATACTGAATACCTTTTGACATAAGGAATAAAGGAAAAATATTTAAAAAAAAGATAAAGAAAAAATATGCATTAGAAGTTTTTTATATTTTTTGTGATACGCCACTGGTTACACACTTGTTTATCTCTGCACACCTGTATTTTCTGAGTACATAGATACCATGGTTGCAACCAACAAATACTAAAAATTTTTCTTGCAAAAAATAAATAAAAACTCAATAAATACAAAAGTTTTATGCCCTTAAAGCTCTAATACCCTTCTGTATTTATTTACTGATCCAGCTTTTAGCTTAAGCAATGATTAGAAAATTTAGTACCTTTGAAATTTGAAATCCATAACCACAAAATTAATTTTTTCATCAGTTTTTTTCACTGTTTACTCAGATAAAATTGGGACCAGTTCACAGGTTAAACTTTAAACATTTAATTTGTGTAAATAAATCCAAAAGCACTTCCCTTAGTTAAGATATTTACAATTTAAAAACATAACCTAAAATTTAAAAGAAATGCACTAGATTCTGTCATAAAAGTTGTCAGATTTTGTTTGAATTTACCTTCAGTACAAAAATGAAATAACCAACAATTAATAAAAACGCCAAATTGACAATTTGCATTGTTAATTTTGTCATTTTTGTAATTAAGCTAAATTTAAACAATGCTTGGCAACTTTTTTGAAAGATTTTGGAAAAACTGTTGATACCAACCATAACATAATAAATCCACCAGATTAACCTAAAGTTCCTAGTCGATCAGTGGCGTACTTTTTGGTAGGATAAAGGTTATTATAAATTATTTTTAGACTTTGGAATTTAGAAAAAAAAAGTTTCAGTGCTTCTTTATGGACCCTAGGGAACAACCAATTTTAATATATAACATTAATTACATAACACCCTGTATACTTATAAATAATTGTAAACTTACTTTTTTTAATTTAATTAAGAATTACATAAGTTTACAAATATTGATATATTTTCCCAATTAAAAACATGTTTTTATTAATTTGCATCTTTTTGGTTTTCTAGGCATGGGTCCGGAGGAGGAATGGTATAACAAAAGTCTATCCGCCCTGAGAATGAACACGACTCATCACCCGAACTTGGCCGCACCCATGTTGCAATACCAAACGTAATGATAATTGCAATTATCGAAATTCGCCAAGCGCGGCAACAACGCCAGCCGAGTAATTTTATTAAAAGCCCATTCAACATCCAACCGATCTCGGTAAATCGAACATTATTATTTTGTCGGTTTGTTTTTGTTTCATTGTCCGCGGTCACGGAAATATGACACAAATTTAACTCATTTGTACAGCAGTTTCATATGCAACATTTTTATAACCAGTTTGTTTGTCAGAAAAAGCTTGTTCCAAAAAATGTTTAAAAAAATCGCACAGAACCTAACGAAAGTATATCTATTCATTCAGGATATTGTTAATAACTATATTATAAATTTAATTAACATATCTTCAAAGTCATTTTTCAGTTACTAAATAGTACCAAGTTGGTATTACCAAAAAATTAAAATCTCCGTGTCGTATTTTTGTGACCAATTGTTTTATTTGTTATTTGTGTACACAACGAGCAAATGTTTTTATTACGATGGCCGATGGTACTAGACCATTAAAAGTCGAAAAAATTGAGTTCCTTGAAAATTATTGTGAATACGAGTGAATGACATAACGAAGTAATGTGAATATTACGGATTTGTAAATTTGGTGTTTCAAAAACGAGTACGGTTAAAATTAATGAATTTATTTCGAGAAAAACATTTTTACATTGAAAGTACAAATTCATATAAATTTAACCGGATTTATTAATTTTTCGTATTCGTTTGCATTTTATACTTGTAATTAATCTAATATTTCGATAAACTTATAATATTAATTGTACTAGAACTTAAAAACATATTTCGTTTATTAGATCTTCAGGTTTCATATAAATAGGTACCTAAAAACTCAACCAAAGATTTAATTTATTGTTTAATGGTTTGTTTATTTATTTTGTACAAAAGTTTATAACAAAAACAAGAAATATTATGTAAAATATATTGTAACTAGTCATTAAAGTTATTACATGTGCCATATTTAATGTAATTGCAACTTTGTGTGATTGTAATTTTAGATTTATGATTAAATGTAAAGTTGTACATATTAACATTAATAAATATTGTAATTAAGAAAAATATATTTTTTATTCCTATTTAAACTGTACATCAAAATTTGGGGAAACCGTATTTCTACTATATAACCGTATTTCTATTATATATCTCCTGTATTTTTTAAGATGGGCGTTAAAATTTAGTATCAATATAGAGTGAAACTGTCTTAAACTGTATACAGACTTGATATACATCAAGTCTTAATATTCCAACCAAAAAAATATCGAAGTTTTTCCTTCTGTTTTTTAACCTGTCAAAACTTTATGCCGTATGTTATGCATGTTAAAAAACACTGAAAATTAAAGACTAAATAAAACTAGTTTTTTTCCATAATAATTTATTAAAAGTATGTACACCTACATATTATGCAACTAACTGTAAAGGACTAAAAATACAAAAATACAAATTCTATAATATATGGTCCAAGTGTACCCCATTCTTTATATCATCAATGAATATTTTGAAAATAAAACAAAATTGTCATGGGTTTTTTTAACTGGCAAGTAAATTTGTTTCTTTGATAATCACAAGCGTAAATTTTAGGCATCACAATTTTATAGTTCTTTATTATCACATTTAAATATTTGTTAAAAATGGACAAATTCTATAGTATCACCCTGTATGAGGAGATCATATCATGCTTATATAGTGTATGTGCAAAGTGAAAAATTTTGGGGAAACCGTATTTCTACTATAACTCCTGTATTTTTTAAGATGGGCGTTAAAATTTAATATCAATATAGAGTGAAACTGTCTTAAACTGTACATAAAGTATTAATATTCCAACCAAAAAAAATATCGAAGTTATAGAGACGTAAAATTAAACCCAACATTTTCCACATTTTGAACATGGTATACTGCCCATTTTAAATCGAATTTGAAAGTTGGCAATCTTGGACATAAACACTGCTCGACTAAATCTAACATCCGTTAAAGTAACAAAAACCAAATTAATAATAATAATAATAATATAAGATGTGATAAACATGTATAAGATCAGTCAAGTAAGAATAAAAAAAATGACTGCGCTTAGCGGTTGGACTTGAGCTTCCATCTCAAGAAGAGGAAGGCCGAAATTCTTAGGACGAAGAAGATGACCACCAGCGCCACCACGTCGACGGTGTAATTCGAGTGAACCATGTCGAGCTCTTCCAGAGTGACAGTGGGCGCTTTGAAGTGACAGTACGAGGTGAAGCACTGCAACTTTGGCCTATCGAAACCGTAGGTTGCCAGTGCGGTACCCTCGAAACCGTACCTGATGTAGGAGAGGTACGTGATCCACCGCAGGTATATGGGGATCGCGTCGAAAGACACGAAGAACCCTGAGAAGAGGAGGAACGGCACCGACATTACGGGCGCCAAAAACACGCCGTTCTAAAACACGCATATTAGTATTTTCTTGCCATCCCAAGTAGCACAAACGGTTAAATAACTAGTATTATAAGTAAATTAACCGAAATCTATTGGCTATTTAACCAATTAGTTGAATTATCCAATTAGTTATTTTTACGGTTATTATAAACTAAAAAAAAACCTTTAAATTACCAACTAGTTGTTATTACTTAAGAGTTAATTTAAAAGTTATTTTTTACTATAATTTAACTTTAAAACTAACCGATGATTGAAACAATACTTCCAAGTTAAATAAATAGTTAATTGTAACTTTTAAAATAACCTTAATTTACCTTAGTTAATAAGTAGGTTATTTTAGAAGTTATATAACGTAATATTAACTTTAAATTTCAACCAATAAAACTGGTAAAGAGTAGTTAATTTTCTTGTTATATTTTGGTTCATTTAAACTATAAATTGAACCTTTAGGTAAGTTAACCACAGTTTTGGTTAATTTGACTTTATTTTTTAACCAACAAGTTGCATTTTACCAAATGTATTTTAACTAAATGGTAAATTAACGTTAATCAACCAACTCGTTAAAAAAGTGATGGTTTTGCAGTTTTCATTGTTACCTACATAGAAAAATATGTACTATGTTACGAATACTTGACATGTTGGGAACTTAAATAGGTACCAGAAATAAAGCCTCTTTATAAATAAACTTTGAACGCCACACGATTGTAGTGTACACACTGCAATGTTTTCCAGAACGTGAATTTATTTTAGGTTAGTAATTTTGAAAATAACAAGTTAGTTTAACTTAACTAAATTTTGGTAATTTTTAACTATAGTGTGTTAAATGTAACCAAATTGAAACCAAAACCAAAGAGTTATAAATTACTGTTGGGTAAATAAAGTAGTTAACTTAAACACAAGGAAATAACTTAATGGTTAAAATAAACTTGCAGGTTAATTTATATTGGTTAAATATCCAATTAGTAAAAGCGTCCTATAATCGCCATATTGCTTGCTGTTCATTTTACAAAAGGAAATGCCATTAATTTTTATTTTTGATTTTTGTTTCAAAAATAAGGTAATTTAAAAAAAACCAATAATAAAAAATATTATTATTATACGTTTGAAAGTATTTTAAATAAATTTTAAGTAAAATAAAAAATAAATAAGCAAAAATAATATTTTTTTTTAATTTTTATTTTCTTTATATCTTATTCTTTTTTGAGCGCGTTTAAAATATAAAAGTATAATGAGCCATTTCATCAGAAAAAAAATGCCCCATTGGTTTTTCTCTGAAGATATGAAGATGAAGATATTAATATTCAGGGGAGACATTTTATTTAAAATCTTAAGACTCATAGATCTATGCATACTTTAGTATAATATACCTACTTGGTAAATTATAATTATAGGTATTAAGTTAAAATAAACTTAAAATGGTTGGTTTTTTCACTTTAGTTAAAGTTGACTAAAGAGTTCAAAAGCAGTCAAAAAAGGGTAAAATTAACGAAAAATTACCAAATATTAATTTTTTTTAACCGACAGGTACATTAACCAAGAAGTTAAATTTACTTAACATAACGTTAAATTAACCATGATTTTTATTCCCCACTTATTACAAAATAACGTTAATTTAAGGTTAATTTAACGTTATAGTACAATATAACTTAGGTAAATTAACCAGACAGAACGTAAATTTAACGTTAATTTAACCAGTTGTGCTACTTGGGATTTTTTTTTAAATTGTTATTACCTGGACGTTCATTGCGGCTCCAACCACAAGTCCCACACTCTGAGCTACGAACGACACGAGGAGGCAAGCCAAAAGGAACATCCCGTATCTGGACCACTCGGACGGTTGTGACGTCATTAAATACACGATCGTGACGTAGATTACGCAGAAAATGGCCTGTAAGAGCACAACACGTCAGACCACACTTTCTACCCTGAAAACGTTTGCTTACCTGGAAGGGCATGTCCGAAATCGTGATGGCCAAGTAGTAGCTCCGAAGTGAATACCAACGATTGAAACTTTCCTTCAAAAGTACGGGCATTTCCAGCGGGAAGGAAAGAATGGTGATTGTCATAGAGGTGTACATCAGAAACAGCATGTTGAAGAAGAGAAAACCCAAGTTACTTAAAACCTTGGCTCCGTCGTTGCCGATTTTAAAGTAGAGGGCGCCAATGAGGAAACCAACGAGAATATGCGCGAAAAGACGGAGGTACATAAGAGTCTGCACAAAATAAGAAAAGTGTTTAAAAAAGTGCTGCACAAATTTTTGATAAACTTACCCAATCTCTTCTGCTGAAAAGTAAGGCCCTTCTTAATATAATGAAGAACTGTTGAAGTTCCGAAGTTCCGTATCGGGGTTGTTGCACCGAACTGTCCAAAAATGGCGTTTCTGCGTTAATTTTGTCGTCTTTTTCCACGGAAATGGCAACGTCTTCAACAAAAAAACGTTAAAAAAGTTCTTTATATTTCGGGTCATTGTACACAGCAAACGGAAAAATATAGAACTGTATAGGATGACTCTGCGTTTGAATATTAAATCTTAGTTTTATCAGAACTGTATTGAATCGTGCTTTGTTTTTATATTTTTCGGCTCTATACCTATGCACGACTATATTTAAAGTCAAACTCAATGGTGTCTTACAAGATACATTGTTTTGATTTTCTATATTCAACAGAGAGGTAGAAACTCGACCCTGTCAAATGGTGCAGTCATTTATGTCTCTAGAAATTATTAAAAAAGGGTTCAGTCCAATGGTGCAGCAACTTCGGATTCCTATTCTCTTCAGAGACATAGAAACTCAAGCTTTTCGAATTTTACTGGCAATGATTTTCGTTAATGTCCCCGAGAATTATACAAAAACAGCGCAATGCAATATCGCAACGGTTTCGACTTCTCTTTACTCTACCAAGTTATAGAAACTGGAGTCTCACTAATACTGTTCTAGTCAATATTTCTGAGAGTATAAAAAGAGGGTGTAATATTGCAAGAAGTTTTGATCTTTTGATCGATGCAAGTAGTTTGAATTTTCTCATTTCTGCATATGATTTTGTTGAAAATAGTTACTTTCTTTGGTATGTAAAGCACAGAGGATATGTTAAGTATTAAACTTTAATAATTTAGTAAAGAGGTCTGTTGGTAGACCCTGCACTATCTCCACTGGTATATGTTAGTACAGCAATATTTAAATCTGGTTGATGAAAAAGTACACACCAGTGCAGGTTATTGTAGCATCTACGAACAAATGAATTAATGGCCCATTGGCAATTATTCCTTTAGGAAAAATATTCAACACAGCTTAATTAATTAATAAAATGAAAAAAAATCACAATCATGTCGTATATAGTTTTTTATAAGCATAAAATAATTTTTATATTAATACTAGTTCAAAAGTGAAATTACGACCTCTATACTGTGGAGAGTATTGAAACGCTCGACTGACGAATACAAATCTATACCGTGGGGAGATTTAGAAAACAATATTCAAACGTGGCGTCATCCTATACACTTCTATAATTTTCCGTTTGCTGTGTATTAGGGTGGCCCAAAAAAAAAGAATATTTTTTTTCTTCTCGTCTCTTGTGAAAATATGTTGGTTTGTCATGTTTTAAGAGCCCTGTCAAAAGATCAGCACCATTAAAAAAATTTTAGGGGTTGCTCAAGATTTTTAAAAATTACCAAAATTAACTTTCAAAGTAGAGTATTTTGAATGTTTTCGAGCGACCTCTGAATATAAATATCAACGAACTTTTAGCGACCTTTAGAAATCAAAATATTGATTTGAAATTTACAGAATTTTTATTATTTTCAACCTAAAAAATAATATCAAGACGAGAAAAAGAATTAAAATAAAACAAAAATTCAATTTTTGACGATTTTGAAAATTTTTAAAAATCTTGAGCGACCCCTACAAAATTTTTAATCGAGCTGATATTTTGACAGGGCTCTTAAAACATGACAAACCAACATATTTTCACAAGAGACGAGAAGAAAAAAAATATTCTTTTTTTTTGGGCCACCCTACTGTGTATGACAAACTTACTGTTTTGGACGTTGCTCTCCTTCTCGTTGTACAAATTGTTCATGTTGATGGCGTTCGGCGAACCCTTGGCCAAAGTGTTCGCGATCACCGAATCCAAGTTCTCGTTGGTGTAAGCGTCGGCGTTGTTCAGGCCGTCGGTCATTTTGAACTCCGGGAACGGCTGGTCGTTGACGATGTCGTTTTTGCCGTTCTCGATTGCGTTGACGAGGGTGCGCGTGTGCTCGCCGTACTCGCCGCAAGCCACCTCTATGATGTACGAGGCGGGGTTGTGGTACGACGGGCACTGCAGCCCCAAGCTGCCCAAGAACGGGACCAGTTGCCTGGTGCTGCCCTGGTACACGCACTGGCCGTCGGCCAGCGTGTACAGGTGGTCGAACATTTCGAACAATCTACGCAAAGTGCATAAGTTGTAAGTAGGGTTGGGAAGGTGATAAGTTATCACGGTGCTGTTCTGAGAAGTGATTTTCAGACTTTCTGAGAAACTTTTTTTTGTGAAATTCTATTTATTTATGATGTAACTAAAAATTTAAGAGTAAAACTAAAAAAATCCCAGGGTTGTTTTTTTTTTAAATTTGATTTTTATTAAGAATATTGTGCCCTATTTTAATTATCCACTTAAAACTTTCGATTTCTTATATACATTTTCATGCAAAACGTTTAAATTAGATTAAAGATTATTAAATATTCTTGCAAAAATGTTTTCACAATTTTTTTATATTATTGACTGTTTTCTTACAATATGCATTTAAGGATGCCATGAATTGGTAATTGGTACATAGACATGAAATTGTAAATTGTAAATTTAACATCTAAGTTTTTATTTATAAGTCTTTTAAACCAAAATAATCAATAATCATAGCAGTTATGTTTAATTCACGAAAAAAACTCAATAACTAATATCTTAACTTAGTTCAATTAAAACAACTAAATATAAAACTTATTATTATACAAAAAAATTAAATTATAAATGCAATGCATATATTCTATGATGGCAGCAACTAAATGTTTTGGATATTCTGGGTGTTCTTTATTCAACTTGTACCGGTACCAACATTTTTTAGCTTAAGCTTCAAATGCCTGCTCAGAATAACTTCCTAATCCATTTTCGTGCTTTTGTAAAAATTCGGGAACATGATAAATAATGGCATGAATTTTTGGAGTTATCTTAATTTGCAAATCACAAAATTATTTATTTGGTTTAAATAGTTCTTATTTATTTTATTACCAAAACACATACATAAACACAACTTTTTCAAAACTTGATAAACATTTTACAAATTTCAAACATTCCAAGGAAGAAATGCTTCTAAGATAGTCAATATTTTTTAATAATTTAAGACTTTCATTGCCATTAAAAGACCATCCAGAACCTTTTTTGAAGGTTTGAAAATAGATTATAATTTAAAAATACTTAAAAAAAAAACTTAATAAAACAGGTACATATATGACAACTTAAATGTCAAATAAATACATCCAAGTTAAAATGTCATGGCTACCTTAAAATAAATTTTTAATTGTAAGTATGATAAAAGTTTAAAAGCTCATTCACATCCACTTAATATGCGTAACTTAACTTAACTTAAGAAACCTACGTCTGTTAAGTTGTCTGTTTACATTAACTTAATACACACAAAAAACGTAATATACAAGCATGCGCAATGTAGACATGGATGTAGACTGGGTTGCCTATCTATCTATATAAAAGTGAAACAACAAGATAGCGCTATATCGTTTTACTGGGCATGTGATTGGCTCACGTAAGAAACTTATTCCCTTAGTTGAGCCGGACCCAACTTTTGGATACGTTAAGTTACGTATGATAAGTTTTCTACGAATGTAAACAGCTGCATTGGTTTCAATGTATTTCAACTTACGTCTCTCACGTAAGTTAAGTTAAGTTACGCGTATTAAGTGGATGTGAATGAGCTTTAAGGGTTATATAATATCCTTCATCACATTTTGTAAGAAAATGGCAAATAATATAAAAAATATATATATATAAATATATTATAAATTATATAATTGATTTTTATGAAAATTAAATAATCTTTAATAAAATTCAAACGTTTCGTCAATATATAAATAAAATCGAAAGTTTTAAGTGGATAAATTTTGCTCTTAAATTCTTAGTTAGGTAGGTACATAAATATAATTTTACAAAAAAAAAAGTTTCTCAGAAAGTCTGAAAATCACTTCTAAGAACAGCACCGTGTTATGGGTCAAAATCACCAAGGTGGCAAATTTCAAATTATGTTTTATGATGAATATACCTAGCAGCTATTACTTTGCTAATTAGCTTAAATGATCACTAAACTTGTGTTTAAACAATATTTACGTTGGCCGAGCATAGAATTAATTGCTTCTCTTGTAATTTTATTTTTAAAGTGAACTATCGCTGAAAACAATCATTCCGGGAACGTTTTTGTGAGGTTTATAATAAAATTAAAATAAAACTTAGTATTTCATTTTTACCCTTTACAATAGCGGAAGTACGTAGTTAATAATAAGAAATTAAAAAACTCTAAGAAAGTTGCAAATAAAATCATTTAAAAACAAAATATCCCTACAAATGAACCTATGGGACTATTTTTTTGAATTAAATTATCTAAATATGCCAATATCGCTGACTTACATATAAATAAACTAGCTCTAGGTATAAGAAGTCCGCCTGTTTTAATATTTCCAAGGCCTTTTTTTAATATCTAAAATAATAATGTGTTAAGTATCTGTGATTTTTGTTATGTTCCCGGAAATGATAAGGAGTTCACGGAATGATGGGTGTGTTCTCTGAATGATGATATAGATACACTTTAGGTTTATGAAATCATAAACAAAATTTTTTGATGCCATACTTATTTATTTATTTGGCATGAGGTTTATTCTTAACAAAAATGTAACTTTAATTACTTCTTTGCAGTCTTTTAATCGATGTACACAGCCAAGTACAATTCTTAATAATCATATTAAACTTTTATCTCAATGTTTATAATTAAACCAATTAAACATGAACCTATATTTAAATTGAACTTTTAAACAAAAACAAGCTTTCGTAATCATAATTATGAAACATCAAAAATATATAATAAAAAAAAGAAACAAACATTAAATCATCCTCATTGGACGATGATGAGTAATAAATGGTTTTATAAATGCTCCGTTTCTTTAATTTCAGCAAATCTTGTACATCAGTTGTATCCATATGCTCGTTCGGTTCAGGAGACTTTCTTGAAAGTATTCCCAAATTTATTGGTTCAGAGTTCGGATATAAACTGCCAGATAACGCAGACATTTTCAGTTCTTTCAAAGATGTTGGATTATCGAGTAGATATGAAGGATGTTAATATATTTTTTTCCAATATGGTTTTAGGATCGGTTTCATATGAGCCCATATCGCATGATCCAAATTTTCACTCACGGTAGCAAAAGATCCATATTGCAAACCATTGTCAACGTTTCGTGTATAATATATGTATGAATAGATAATTGATTTTTTGCGAAATGAGTCGACTGGATTTTATTTGCGTACTGACAAGTTTATTTGTATCATTACCTACCTCTACTTCAGTTAAATTTTCTTTCAACTCTTTTTTCCGTTTGTTGTAACTATAAATGCCATACAGACAGTGATGGGCACGTACCCGGTATATACCCGATTTAATATTTGTATAAATACCCAAGGTATGTACTATGTACTAGTGATGAGCACTATCGATAGTTGATAGTTCAAAGTTTACAATAGTGCTCACCACTGGTACATAGTACATAGTACATACCTTGGCTATTTATCCAAATGTTAATAAATCAGGTATATACCGGGTACGTGCCCATCACTGCATACAGATTTTTTTTCTTAACTGGAATATCTTCAACAAAATCCATTTTTAATTCTTTGACTGTACTTGAAATTGCAACCTTGTTTGTGATCTTGAATGTCTTATTCTCGCCTTTTACAGTTTCTTCCCCAAAAACACTTTTGCTGTTAGGAGTTGCAGCAAAATTATCATCTGAATGTGGCGGAGTATTGTTTACTATACTTAATATTGCTGTCTTCTTTTCTCTGTATTTTTATGCTTCTTTCCAAATTTTTCTCTGCTTTCGCTTTTTTCTCTCGGTCATCTCAGCAATGTTTTTAACTTTCTTTCAGCTTTTTTTTCTGATAGTATGCTCTATCCTTACCCCTTTTAATGTATCTCTCTTCCTCTGTTATCTTATCTAAAAACTTCCTTTTTCTGGCATTAGCTTTTTCTGTTTGCCGCATGAGAGCTAAACTATTTTTTATAAGTTGTCTTTTTGGACGTTTTTAATTTTTTTTTAACTTCATGAGATTCCATATTTGCTAAAAAAATAAAACATTTATTTAAAACTATTTAGGACAAAATACACTAAATTAATTGACAAATAGTAATAACAGTCATTTCAAGAACGCTCCGTCAAGTCCGGGGACGTTCCCGAAATGACCGTTCCCAAAATGACTTTTTCAAATAAACGTGCCCTTTTTGGACGAAAGTCATCTTGACAGCCATGTTTGGCTTGTTTAAGGTATATTATTTAAGGTTAATATTTGTTATAAACACTATAAAACGTATTTTTTCAATATTACGAGTTAATAAACGCATTCCCGGTATGATGATATATTTATGTACGCTCTTTAATTATGGGATCGAATGGTACTTACCACTTATTTTTAATTATTTTGGCGAAAAATTCACTTGACATCCACGTTGTTTACATCTTTCACTACAACTGTGCCATACACATATTACGGCTGCGTTCAAAAACGTAATTTTTTTGGACAATCAAAACAGCGTTCACTCAAATGATGCTTACATTGTTGGACATAATATTTTGACTTGATTTTCTTTCATTTCTTTTTTGTTTTTTTATTAATGCTTGTAATTACGTGATATTAGATAAAATTGAATTGAATAAGTAAGAAAAACTGTTAAATTTATTTTATTTTATGATTATTTCAGGTGTTTGTTTCTAAAGATTGCTACTTAGGACGCGTTCTCGAAATGATTTTTTGTACTTATTTATATAAATAATAATGAATATGGTTTACTTTTAAACTATATTATATTAGGTATAGTTAACGGAAACACAGTTAAGTATTTACAAAACTTGATTTGTTAAAGAAAAACTGAATTTAGTCATTTATTTGCTGGCACAGCTAATTTTCCACCTTGATGATTTTGACCCTTATACATTTAATACCGTATTTCATTCATTTTAAACCACTTTTTTTTTTCAAAGATCTGTAACATTTGAATTACGTAATTTACTACACAATAATTCACTACATTCTGCGTAGTAAACATAGTAAACGCCATTTTTGCGTCACTTTCTCATCCCAGTAAGTCAATGGCGGAACCAGTGTGTTTTGAATTCTGAGATGTAGATGGCATTGTTAAATATATTGTTTATATAGTTTTCTTCGAGGCGCCGCACATTGGTCAAAAGGGCCGTTTTGGGAAAATATTTTAATAAATTTTTTATTAAAAATAAATATTTTTTTTTCAACCGTCTTTATTACATATTTTTCGCATATAATCCATTCCGTTTAATCTTTGGTTTATTAGATCCGCAAAAAATTATTAAAAAAAATCTTACCTTGCAGAGGGTTGATGTATGGTACAAATGATGGTACGTCCGCCTCTAGCCAGCTCTTTCAACAGCGAAATGCACTGAAAGCAGGAAGAACTGTCCAAGCCACTGGTGGGTTCGTCAAAAAACATAATGGGCGGATTACTGACTAGTTCCAGAGCAATGGACAGCCTCTTTTTCTGACCTCCAGACAACCCGCTCGTCATTGTTCTTCTATGCTCCAGGAGACCCAGTGTATCGAGAATATCGGCAATCTAAAAAAATTGTTTTGTTGTATTTTTTTACAGAATAATTATGGTAGTAAAAAACTCACGATCGCTTCACGTTGTTCTAATGTTTTGTCACCGATTTTGAGCTTGGCAGCCACCTCCATGGCCTCGCTCACAGTGAGGTTCGCGTGAAGCTGATTGTCTTGCATGATGTAGGCCGAAAGTTTCCTGAACTGACTCAGATCTCTTTCGTTGTTGTTCATCAGGATTTGCCCTTGCATACCTTCAGTTCTTCAAGGGAGAAAATGCAAAAATAAACAAACTTTAGCTTTTTATTTCCCTTATACAAGGTGTCCCTAAACTTATTGGCATAAATTTAGGAGCAAATTAAGCAAGTCAAAACGAGAAACAAAAGAATTCACGTTTGCGAAGTCAAGTCAAATTTAAATTTTGAATAAAGTTTTCAGTGAAAAAAGTATGTAAAAAACTCATGCACTTTACTTAGGATTTCATTAAAGAATAAACATATTACAAAATAAAAGAACAAAATAAAATAAAAATCGTCAAAAAGCTGAATTTTGGTCTTCCACTAAAAAATTCATAACTTCGCCATTTTTTCATGTATTTTTATCAACATCAGCTTGTTCTTCTTGTAAAAATGTCAGACAACTAATGTCACGAAAAAAATTCCCAGGACGATATGTAAATTTTCGACCTCAATTTTTGACATACAAACGAATTTTTAAGTTATTAAAATCCAAAATACTTATCCGATATCAAAAGTATGTAAAAAAAAGTTTTAGAGGGCTCAAGTACCTTCAATTTATTTGACCAAATCGATCAATTAGATTTCAAAAACGTCAAAACACCTCCGAAAATTGAAAAAAAAAACAAATAAAAATTAATTTTTTAAAAACGTTTCCATAAAAAAAATTGAGTGTGATTTTCGTGTTTACATACATGGAAAAATTGTAATGGGATATGGTGGGCAGAATTTTTTTTCGATTTTGTAAACTGGTGTTATTAGTGACACTGCTTTCTCTCTATGACAATTAGACATTTTTGACTAATTTATTTTAAGAAAATATCAAAAACTTTTTTTATATTTAAATTTGATTTTAAATATCGGCCATGTATATTACTCTCAAAATTGTGATTCTCCAAGACAAACGGGAGTTTTGAAATAATGACCAATAAATTAAAAAGTATTTATTATTTCCTGTACATATAAAAGCGGAAGCATATATTAATAAACCACATTTTTTGGAAGCCAGTTTAAAAATAACATTTTTTTACCCATAAAGCGATAAATAAGCAGGCCCGGATTGGGCCGGGGGGCTAGGGGGCAAAGCCCCCAGGGCCGCTGCCCGGATGGGCCGCCAAGGCCGTAATATAATATAATATGAATGCTTTATAAAATTAAAAGGGAAAAACTTCTCCAGAAGAAGTTTTCTCATCTATGAATTATCCTTAGGTTTTGATAACTTTTACCATAGATCATAAAAGTTTCTGTGAATTTATTTTATGATTTATTTCCAAATAAAGGCACAGTAAACAGTTTACTGTTTTTGAGATGACTTTTTAAAGTATGTAATTTCGGTAAAAGATGGCGCTACAGCCCTCTGGCTACAAACGCGCGTGTGTAAAACCTACAATTTTTGTGTTTTATTTTGCTTAAATATTGAATGTGCAAATCTTGATGTGTACTAAAGGTACAACTATTTATAAAATATACTTTTTTAAATATTCACTACAATTTAGTACAACTGGTAATAAAAACCAAGTGGCCCCCTACAGACAAAATTACGTATCATTAAAAGTTGATATTTTAAGCAGAGACAATACTTTTAAGTAAAGTTATTTATAATATCGACATGGTTTTTTATTTTTTTATTGTTGTATGGTAAAACTTGTATCGTATCGGTGTATTACTCTGGCTGCGTTATAAGGAAAATTAAAAAAATAATGAATAAACGTGTAAAAGGTGGAGCTGAAAAAGAACGAGAAAGAAAAAGGAAGAAAAGGGAAAATGAAGCGGCACAGTGTCATAACATCGGAGATTTGTTCAAAGCTATTAAGGTAAAAGTGACTTTTTATTGTTAATTTTATATTATTATAATCTTTATGTATTATATTCGTTCCATATTGAATTGATGTAATTATTATCTTAACATTATTAAACACTTAATCTACAACGCAAAAAAATACCACTTATTCAAAATGTACCGTTGTAGAAAAAAATAACAAAAAAAGGTAATAAACTTCTGGTTGTGCAAAATATTAGTCAGTGGTTTACGTGTACGTGTACGTATTTTGTTTGACATATGAAATTATTTTTTATAGAAAACAGACCATAATACGGATAAAGTTGATGATAACGCTAAAGACCCAGCAATCCCCTCTACCTCTACTTCTACTTTTGTAGAATGTGAAAAAAATACAGAATTTGAAGCATGTGACCACGGCACTCTATGCGATATAAATATATCGGACACTGATGGTGCCTCGCAATTTTTTCTGGTAACATTTCTTTTTTGCTTTATTTATTTTTATCTTCTTTTAATAACAAACTTCTAGACAGTCGAGCAGTCGCTAGCATCGATTGAAAATAAAAATACTTTGGAAATTACTGAAAATGAAAATCGAGAATGTGGTATCGTTGAGAATTTTAAAAGGCCATCTAAAAATGACTATTATTCTTTTTTCAAAATTCATCCAATACAACCTACTGATAAAGTTAAATTCAACCCAAGTTTGGCCTATTTTCGAGAAGACCTTGACACCAAAAAAATCAGAAGACAGTGGATCTCATTTTGCGAACAGAGTAATATTTTTTCTGCTCATTCTGCTTAGCCTTTAACAAAGAACCGAATTCATTCACGGAAGGCTGTAAAATTGTTCCTCACAGAATATATGACCGAATAAGAAAGCACGAAAAATCGATTGCTCATCAAGCATCAGCAGAATCCTTTTTATTGCAAAGTAAAATGAAAGATATATATAGCTTGTGCACCGATACCTCTAAAAAATTACAAGAAATTAATGAACGGAGGGACATCTTAAAACGGATTGTTGAAACGGTTAAAACTTTAGGAAAACAAGGTCAAAGCTTCAGAGGTGCAAAGGAGGCTGAAGCTGCCTATACTTTGGATGATACCTGTGCTGACCACGGTAATTTTTTGGAGGTTCTTTTGTTAATTTCTAAATTCGATCCTATACTCAAAGTCCACATCGATAAATCGATAGAACTAAGCCTTAAAGCACACCTTAAGAAAACTGACAAAAATCGACCTGGCCGTTCTGGATCGATCAATACATTTTTATCGAAAACTACCGTCAATTATATCATAGAGTCAGTATCTTCGTTAATAAAAAAGAAGGTTTCTGAAGAAATCAATAAGGCTGGAATGTTCTCTATCCAAATTGATTCAACTCAAGATATCAATGTTCATGATCAGCTGAGTGTTATTGTAAGATGTAAAAGAGAGATTGTTTGGAATCATAAATTGTACCTCTAGTACAGGTGCCAACTTATACCAAATTGTAATGGAATTACTTGTTAAAAATGGCATTGATATGAAAAATTGTATTGGTTCTGCTACCGATGGTGCCTCAAATATGCAAGGCCAGTATAAGGGTTTTTCGGCATATATGGAGAAAAATTTTAATGGCCAAGTGCATGTTTGGTGTTACGCACATGTACTTAATTTGGTGATGGCTGACACGACCAGCATTTCCGTTGAAGCAATTTCGTTATTTGCTATTATTAACCAATGTGCAGGATTTATTCGTGAGTCTTATAAAAGGATGGCAGTTTGGGACACCGTGACTGATAAAAAAAGAAAATGTTGTCTTCAATTGTAGAAACTCGTTGGTGGGCAAAAGATAAAGCTCGAGCAAAAATGTTTGGACATTACAATAATCCAAAAAATACAGCTTTTGTAGAGATTATATTAACCCTAGAGGAAATTGCCAGTTCATCCAATTTCGCAAACGAAGCGCGTTTCAAGGCAAAGTCCATTGCTGACTCACTGAAAAAATTTTAAGTAATACTAAGTGCTCAAATCTTTTTAAAAATTTTTGAATCGACAACTCCATTATCCAAATACCTTCAAACAAACGGAATGAATCCTATTATGGCATTTAAAATGGTTGAAAAAACCATAACCACCCTCAAAACAGACTCAAGGAGTTTTGAAGCAGTTTTGGTAGATGCCAAAAAATGACCCTCTCGTTGAAGTGGAAAGAGAACCATATTTTTCGTCTAATTTTGCTGCAAAACGAATTAAAAAAAGAAAAATGATGCCTGGGGAAAAAAGTAATGATGAATGTATCGCTGATCCAGAAAAGAGATTTGAAACACAGGTTTACAATGTTATTTATGACAATGCTTTGCAAAATTTGGAAAACAGATTCACAGGCCACCAAACATTATTTTTGAACCTTGCTTGGCTAGATCCGTCCTATTTTGGAAAAATTGATGATTTGCCACTTGATTCATTTCAAAATATTGCGGATCAAATAACAAAACACAGTGCCAATAATATTGTGACCTCAGCAGAAATTTATAGTGAGCTGAAAGATTTTGCAAAAAAAATGGAACAAGATGAAAGAGATCTTGGTAAATAAAAAGAGCAAATCTATATTGAAGGAAGATGAATCCCAACATCTCGCTGTAGCTATTTGTGAAACATGCAAAAATTGCGTTGTGTGTTGTTTTCAAGTTTTGCTCCAATATAAATTACATACAATGTCTTACAATAATTTATATAACGCTTATAAATACGTTTTAACTTTGTCATGTACCCAGGTTTCCTGTGAAAGAACTTTTTCAAAGTTAAAATTTGTACAGAATAGACTAAGGAGTTGTCTTACACAAGAACACTTGGATGCCTTACTGCTGATGTCCGTTGAAAAAGAAATTCTAATGTGATTATAGATAATATTGCCACCAAAAGCGAATCTTTAAAAAAATTATTAATTCTTTAAAACTTAATAAAAAACATTCATTTCTTTCAAATTTTTTTATTGTTACAAAAAAATTGATGTGGTTTAAGGGCCGGTTTATAATCAAAGCCCGGGCGGAAAAATTATCCCAATCCGGGCCTGTAAATAAGTATACATGAACGACAGTAAATCAATATAATTAATTCAGTATGTAATTAACCTTTGTTAAGGTCACCATTCGACCATACACATACATATGTACGTAGCTACGCAGACAATTACTATTATTTGATTAACCCAAATTCGCCCGTCTTGACCAATTGAGTCTCGTAAGTACAATCAACAATAAAAGAGTTTAACCATTAACCATTATTAATTTTTGTAGTATTTGTAAAAAAACCAAGGTCGCCAAGCAAACTGCATGTCCACGATTTAAAAAATGCTATATTTACATTTGTTGTTTTTTACCAATATTGACATAAAAACACAATGTTGCTATACAAATGCGATTTTTTTGCAAAATACTGAAATTCTTTATAAATTTTAAATATTTTAAAAAAATAAGAATTGTATCGTTTTAACATAAAAATATTTAAAAAAAAAACATGTAAAAATTTTTAATATTTCGAAATTTTTTATATTTTAAAACTGGAAATTGATCCTACAATTTTTTAAACTTATCCCACTGTGCGAATTTGTCATACCATTTTATAAATTTAGGCCACTGTGCAAATTGTTCCTAAATTTTAAAAATTTAATAGTAATTTCGTAATAGCTTGACAAAATTTTAATTATTCCATATTTTACATTAACAATACCTATTTTTAATACCATTGAATAGATCTATCTATATCATATCCCCTTAAGTGAATAACACATTTGTGCCGGAGATAATAGTGTGTTGCGAAATACATTCAAAAACTGGTCTTTCGAGTATTTGATACAATTAAAATTTCTACCTAAACCACTTTTAGTATTAAAAATAAAATAAACTGAATAATATGACAAACAATTTTTCTCGCAAAAACTTGTTTTTGTCTATGGCATTTAATAAATATTTATTATTGTTGACTCGACTTAACTTCATTAATATTACGTACTTATTTGTTGCATTTAAAACGAAGATATATTTTAATTGTTTATTTAATTATAGTAAATTAGTTATAGATAATTATTCCAGTGTATCGTATCTCTTGTCAAGTATGAACAAAATTATACACTAGTTCTACAAAATATATGGTATTAAGCTTATTTACTTAATATTTAGAATAAAAGTAATAAATATAATGATTATTGACAAAATTTTAACTTATTAAACAAAAAATAAATAAAAATTAAGACTTTTTAATTAGGCCTGCTATTTCTAGACAATTAAACTATGTTCTAGATAATAATAAAATTACCAAAAATGAAAAAAAATCATTGCCTCATCATGTTCTATGCATATCAATTTTGAATCAGAACTAGAACTATAACCCGGGTTCTATTATATATTTTTTTTTTCTGGTAATTTTAATTTAAATAGCTAGTTTTGAAAATGAATATTTTATGTGGGAAATATTGCACAATTTGTCAATTAATAAAAATTATATTCTCATAACATTAAACTATTTCCGTATTCTACTTATTTTTTACTTGCTCGTATATTTTAAAATTTGACATTGAAAGTTAGATTAGAATTTCGTAACCTAAAACCGATTGATTAATAATATTCAATGCGGTCAAAGTTAAGTTAAAAACAAAAAAAAAGACTTTAGACCAATAATTAAAAACAGCTTGCAGTTGATTTAAATTGACAAAGAACACCCAGTTCAAATTTATAGCAAATTGTGTATACCGTATTCTAATTTTGTAGTTGGCAAATTTAAAATTTAATATTTGGTTTCAAACTTTTTCCACTAAATTCGATCGCAGTGCATTATCACGATAAACACACGAGCCTGGTCAAACTATGTATTGGCCCTTGAACTTTGTACCTCGGTTTTTAATTTAATTCAGCCGATTTCTCGGAATTATTTTCACCCATACACGAAGTGGGAAAAAATTACTTGAAATTATTATCTATTAATTTCAATTTTATGTTGCACCCTGTATATATTTGACCTTTCTTGCTAATACACTTATGACGTGAAATACTTATATTTAGAATTTTGTCGATATTCGATGATACTCACCTCAAATTATTATAATTATTAGCTACCCTTAAATTTTAAGTTTTTTTTATTTCGTTTTTTATATACCACAAGGGTTATCAAGCTAGCTTTACTCCGTACTTCCATTAATGGTGATTTTACGTATTTTTAAGTGGCAGAAATTGATACAGAATTATTTTTAAATGATTTCTTCAATTATAATGACTTATGAGCTTTTTAAACTATATTATTTCGACTTAAAACTATAACTTACTTGTAACCTGTAAGTATGTTGAGCAGTGTAGATTTACCGGCCCCAGAAGGACCCATAATGGCGGTGAGCTCCCCAGATTTGAGCCTACCACTGACATGTTTCAAAATTACCTTATCACCTATAAGAATTTAAGAAAAAAGCACTTAGTAATATCAACTTGGCTATGAAATTTTGTCTAAATGACATTCTGTCAAAATTATATAAATAATACAGAGCCTACTCTAATTTTATCCAAGCATTCTTAAATTGAGTATTACAGCATAGATTTATATTTAATGAGCAAAATCTCTACATATCTTGTAACAAAACATAATTACCTATTAACTAAAGTTTCATAACGCTGGTTATAAAATATTTTACTATACAATTACCCTAGGCAAAACAGCTGTTTAACTTTTGACATAATTCTAATAATTTATACAAAACAAAGAAGTTAAATTAGTTTTTTTTAATTATTATTTGCCAGTAATGTTACAATGAAACATTACAAACAAAAGGAAACTATTGTAATATCAGTGATGACCAACAAATGATTTTTATCTAAATGATTCATTAGTTCAAAGTCAAAATTAATATTAAACAAACCACATCAACATATTTTACAAAAGTTTTTTAAGAACTAAAAATTATCCTTTCAAAATATTTTGGAATTTTTACTGAAAACATAATTTATTATTATCATTTGTATTTAATTAGGTATAGGTACCTATTACGTTTTGCACCACATAATTGATAGTTAATCTAAAAATATCTTTAAAATTAAAATGCCCTTGAATTATTAAATTTTTATCTTACAAAAGATATGATGATTTTTTATTGATTAAAACATTGCATTTATTGGTAATTTATGCGTAAAATATTTTTTTTTTGCAAAATATAAAAGTAATTTTTAAAAGGTTCCGCAAACGAACAAAATGTTCCCCAAAAAAGAATATACCTAGGTAAATTATATATAGATTTAAGTATAGGTACCTTATAGGTAGGTACCTACACAAACTTTTGTTCATGTTAATTTTTGTATAAGAAACTTAACCCATAATTATGGGTTTTTCTTATTATTTATAAATATTGCTAAATAAATATTAACAAGATAAGTCTTGTTAAAAAGTAATTTTGGCATAATTATTGTGTTTGAGATCAAAGATAATATAGATAGACAAAATCATAGAAATACAAAATATGTAACTATTATTCTTAATTGGTGAAATGGCAAAAGCTATTAACTTAATAAATTATAAACTTAATTTTCATTTTGAAATAATGATATTTGTAACGGCATTATTTTTACAATTTCATCAAAACTATGCTTCACATCAAAAATTCCCAACTTGACATTTAAATACAAATGAGTGAGGTTATATATCTCTTAGTTCATCGCTAATTTCGACTTATAATATGTAGGTACTTTTTGGGTTCTAAACAAAAGATAGATACACATATATTGTAATATTTTCAGAAAATAAGACAAAATTAGCGTTAAACTAAGAAATACCTATAGGTATACGTGAATTATTTGTATTCAAATGTCAAAGTTTGGCTTTTTGTTAAAGAGATAGGCACTTAAAATTATCAAAAATATAATTATACAAAAATGATTACACACGTACCTGGCAAATCGAGTTTCAAGAACGTGATTTAAATTGTTTATTAGGAAATCTGTTTGTTGTAATTAACCACAAAGAGAAACAGCCAATTTTAGTGGTATATTTTGTTTATGTTGCCTTATGTGGCAATACTGCCTGTAATGTTTATTTTCTTTATTTTGTAATGGGTTCTCATCCGCTGAACATTCCTTTTATTGCTAATTTCATCGTTAGATTGCTTATTTTATTACATTACACGCAAATGTCAAATTTAATACTAATTAAGCTCTCAAGCGTGTCGTTTTATTATTAAATGTCAAACTTTTAGGCGTGCAAAACGGCATTACCCATTATGTTGTATGTATCTTGGCCCAAGATACATACAACATAATGGGTAATGCCGTTTTGCATTACCAAACAAATCCCCATAACCATGACAACAAAACAAATTCTACTTACTTTTGCCTTGTCTCACTGTGTACGTCAAGTCGGAAAAAGCCAGGTCAACTTTCGGCCGTTGTGGCAGATGCTGCAGGCCCCTTTGTCCGCCGTTGGCGCGGGTTATTTGCACTTTGACCTCCCCAGGGCTGCTGTCAACAAAAGGTATATCCTCAGAAACCATGTTAAAACGTTTGCGAACTCAATAAAACACGAATAATTGACACTTAAAACTTCAAAACATTAGGAACAAAAGATCATCTCAACAGTTCGCGTACAAATGACACTAATCAGATGTTCGAGGTGATCAAGTGGGCTGGTTTATTACCCGTGCGCTGTTGCCATATCGTAGTTATATTCCCGAATATAGAAACGAAATTGATAAATTTTAACCAATTAAAGCGGTCTTAAAGCAAAATAATAATAAATATAGTATTTTTGATCAGTTTTGGGTAATTTCTAAGCTATTTTGATTGTTTTAAGGGTTATTATAACATTATTATGTGGAAAATAAGATTCAAAGTTGTAAATAGAAATTTGGCAACGCTGGTATATTAAATAAAGTACAAGGCGCGAGTTTTGATCGTAAGTCCAAATTCTAAATCATTGTATCTTGACGATATCAGGTAGTCATTGATAATAAAATATATGTATACAATCAATAAATTGAAATAATGAATTATTAACTCGTATCAGTATACCTTGTCGACATAAAATGTGTATTCGCATTAACAATCATGTTAAAAAAATATTTTTTCTTAAATCAATTATTTTTGGTACCGGGAATAACTAAAATTAAGCAAATCTTATTATTAAGATTTTATTAGGGTTTTTTAAATGGCGCGTGGAATTGTGCTCAAGCCCGCCTAAGCCACTTAAAACCCAAATACTTTATTAACAAGTTTTGTTATATGGGTATACATATATGTCTCATTTAACTTTAAATTCCAGATATAACTTTTTAAGTATTTTTGATTGTTCAAAAAATTATATTTTTTTGGATTTTTAAATTCAGTAAACCTTTGCAAGTATATACCTACCAAAAGCAGTACAGTTTTTACCCATTTTATCTTTTTTTAAGGTTTTAAGCAAAATATCAAGTCATCTACGCCACCAATTAAAAAAAATATTTAAATTTAAGTTTAAAATTAATTAAATAGTTTTTAGTATATATCATTATTTATTATCAAAATACAGTACATACTTTTATTACTCGTCACCTTCGTTGCCGGTTTTATTAGACTACTGCGTTTTTTTATATATAAAAAAACGCAGTAGTCTAACAAAACCGGTAACGAAGGTAACGAGTAATAAAAGTACGTACCTGCTCCAACAGAATCACGTAGAATTTTCTGGAACAACGACAATAAATAAACCACTTACACGTTTCCAGTAGCAAAATAAGACTGATTCACTGCTCTAGTCAAGAACGTTTGACCAAAAATCATCCCCACCAATATTCCATTTCGTAAATAATAGTAAGTGGCGTAGATGACCCTTACCTTATGGGACACAATATCTAGAGTCTTAAAAACTAAACAAATTAAAAAAAAAACTAAAATTTGATAAATTGGGTGAACTTGATGTTTACTCTATATTCCATTTCGTAAATAATAGTAAGTGGCGTAGATGACCCTTACCTTATGGGACACAATATCTAGAGTCTTAAAAACTAAACAAATTAAAAAAAAAACTAAAATTTGATAAATTGGGTGAACTTGATGTTTACTCTAGAGTTTATAAGGTTAAACTTAAGAAACAGTGCAATTAATTAATAAATTTACATTTAAAAAACTATTTTGCACATTTACACAGCAAACGGAAAATTATAGAGGTGTATAGGATGACGCCACGTTTGAATATCGATTTCTAAATCTCCCTACGGTATAGAGTGGTATTCGTCAGTCGAGCGTTTCAATACTCTCCACAGTATAGAGGTCGTAATTTCACTTTTGAACTAGTTTTAATATAAAAATTATTTTATGCTTAAAAAAAACTATATACTCGTACGACATGATTGTGATTTTTTTCATTTTATTAATTAATTAAGCTGTGTTGAATATTTTTCCTAAAGGAATAATTGCCAATGGGCCATTAATTCATTTGTTCGTAGATGCTACAATAACCTGCACTGGTGTGTACTTTTTCATCAACCAGATTTAAATATTACAAAACTATACCAGTGGAGATAGTGCAGGGTCTACCAACAGACCTAATTACTAAATTATTAAAGTTTAATAGCATATCGATCATTTTTCAACATAACCTCTTAAATTTTTAATACAAATATAGGTACTTTATATAATACATAAATATACTTAACATCATATCCTCTGTGCTTTACATACCTGAGTTGTTACGGTAAATAAAAATCAGACAAAGGAACCAAAGAAAGGAACTATTTTCAACAAAATCATATGGAGAAATGAGAAAATTCATTCATCAAAAGATCAAAACTTCTTGCAATATTACACCCTCTTTTTATACTCTCAGAAATATTGACTAGAACAGTATTAGAGAGACTCCAGTTTCTATAACTTGGTAGAGTAAAGAGAAGTCGAAACCGTTGCGATATTGCATTGCGCTGTTTTTGTATAATTCTCGGGGACATTAACGAAAATCATTGCCAGTAAAATTCGAAAAGCTTGAGTTTCTATGTCTCTGAGGAGAATAGGAATCCGAAGTTGCTGCACCATTGGACTGAACCCTTTTTTAATAATTTCTAGAGACATATATGACTGCACCATTCGACAGGGTCGAGTTTCTACTCCTCTGTTGAATATAGAAAATCAAAATAATGTATCTTGTAAGACACCATTGAGTTTGACTTTAAATATAGTCGTGCATAGGTATAGAGCCGAAAAATATAAAAACAAAGCACGATTCAATACAGTTATGATAAAACTTTAAGATTTGATATTCAAACGCCGAGTCATCCTATACACTTCAATAATTTTTCGTTTGCTGTGTAGTTTCGGGTGAGGGACCGGTAGTGTAGGTGACATTATAAATGTTTCCAATTAAATAAAAATATATTTTATATATTTTTTACAATTTATTTTATATAAATGCGCTAAAGAGCATGATAGTTTTTAAGTGATGTCCTAAAAACTTGCAAAATATTATTATTTAAAAAAATATTTGGCCGGGACAGGTCATTTTTAAGTTAAATGAGACATACCCATATATAAAAACGCTCGGGTAATATGTGGCAACAATAGCAATTAGCCCCTCCCACTATAAACCGGTGACCGTGCCTTAGTAGCAGTCTTCTTGATTTTTTTCTGTAACACTTGCATTTCTGAATCGGAAGGTAAATATAAAAATAAGGAAATGAATTTTTAATATAAATTTATAAAAATCTTTATATAAGGTGACCAACTGTTCTGATTTAATCAGAACTATACTGTTTTTGAGGTCTTCATTCTGACTGGAAATCGAAGGTAGTAAAGGTTCTGATTTTCCTATTTTGGTTCTGGTCTGTTCTGATTTAGCTTACCATATAAAATAAACTTCCAATTTTTATAAATCCATATTAATTTATTAGGTATACCTAATATCTAAAAATAACTAGGCTAATAACACAAATTTTATAATAGTTAATTTATAAATATATATATATATATATATATATATTAGGGTGCTTAATTTGAAACGAACATATTTTTTTTCCCGCTGACACATGAAAATTTTGTTCCTTGTATCGAAAAAAAAATTCCCTGAAAATTTGAGCCCTTAATTTTAATTTTCAGTGGTTCCTCTCGATCGATGTATATTTCCCATTGAAATAACATGTAAATCATGATTTTTTTAATTAAAATTAACATAGCTCCGTTTGATTTCATGGTATTTCATTGCGATTAGTCAGAATTTGTAGTATATTAGTGACTCTTTAAAAGTGCCCACCAACATTTTTTTGTCCTTGAACCCGTCTCATCGGTCTCGGCCTCGAAACCCCAATTTTCTCAAAAATTGTTATATTTTCGTTTTTATCAACAAAACAGTTGACTTATGAAAAAAATGATCAGAAAATAATTTGTAGGAAATTAAATTTCCTACAAAAATATCCCTGTATGAATTTTCTGAGGTCCATAGTCCAAAAGGTATAAACAGTTTAATGTATTAAAATCTAAAAAAAATATGAAATTTTAATTTTTATTGTATGATTTTTCAACTTACACTTTTGTTTAACAAAGTTAACCTCATTCAACTTTTTTTAAAAAAAAAAAGATCGGTAATATTGGGAAGAGATGTTAAAAAATTTTTTTCATCGCCTTATCTTCAAGAGTAGAATGTCTCATGTGAATTTCTGATATTTATTGAGTGTAAAATATTTTATTTTGTTCTTAGTATAAAAATATACCAAAATTAGATTTAGAAACAATTAAAATTAAAAAAATCATTTTTTACACCTGTAATTTCTGTTTCTATTTACGCTGTGGCTCCCGTCCCGAGGCGGGACTTAAGTTCAGTCCCGATTGACGTCATAATTTTAAGATTTGTTATGTTATAATAAAATATTAATAATAATAAATTGTACCTGTATACATGTTAAGGGCACTTTAGTTACGTCATAAAACCAAACCAACCCAAACTCAACAACACAACCCAACCGACCCCGCCCCATTGCCCCCCCCTCCGCCCCATTGAGCAAAAAACCCAACTAAAATGGGCAAATTTATGTTACGATAAAAATAAAACACTTTTTAACAAAGAAACAACAAATTTATAAAATAAAAAAAATAAAAAAAGTTTGACAACTTCTAGTGGGATCGAACCCGGTACCTCTCGCATGCCAAGCGACCGCAAAATCAAAATCAAAATCAATATATTTCTAAATTAAATAAGCGACCGCCCTACCATCTAAGCCATCGAGCTTGACACAAATTATAAAATCTCGGGGAATAAAAACGGATTTACAGTGTGTGACGTCAATCGGGACTGAACTTAAGTCCCGCCTCGGGACGGGAGCCACAGCGTAAATCGAAACAGAAATTACAGGTGTAAAAAAGGATTTTTTTAATTTTAATTGTTTCTAAATCTAATTTTGGTATATTTTTATACTAAGAACAAAATAAAATATTTTACACTCAATAAATATCAGAAATTCACATGAGACATTCTACTCTTGAAGATAAGGCGATGAAAAATTTTTTTTAACATCTCTTCCCAATATTACCGATCTTTTTTTTTTTTAAAGTTTAATGAGGTTAACTTTGTTAAACAAAAGTGTAAGTTGAAAAATCATACAATAAAAATTAAAATTTCATATTTTTTTTAGATTTTAATACATTAAACTGTTTATACCTTTTGGACTATGGACCTCAGAAAATTCATACAGGGATATTTTAGTAGGAAATTTAATTTCCTACAAATTATTTTCTGATCATTTTTTTCATAAGTTCAACTGTTTTGTTGATAAAAACGAAAATATAACAATTTTTGAGAAAATTGGGGTTTCGAGGCCGAGACCGATGAGACGGGTTCAAGGACAAAAAAATGTTGGTGGGCACTTTCAAAGAGTCACTAATATACTACAAATTCTGACTAATCGCAATGAAATACCATGAAATCAAACGGAGCTATGTTAATTTTAATTAAAAAAATCATGATTTACATGTTATTTCAATGGGAAATATACATCGATCGAGAGGAACCACTGAAAATTAAAATTAAGAGCTCAAATATTCAGGGAATTTTTTTTTCGATACAAGGAACAAAATTTTCATGTGTCAGCGGGAAAAAAAAATGTACGTTTCAAATGAAGCACCCCATATATATATATTATATATATATATGGGGAATTCCACGCCAAATCGACCACTTTTGACCCAACTTCTTTCGATTTGACTGAACTTTTTAAATTTTTTTCTACCCCACTAAAAAAGTTTCTCAGAATTTTTCCAATATATTTACCCAACCAAAAAAAAGTTACGTATTTTCAAAATTTGACTAAATGGGGCGTTTTTTTTGGTTTTGAATGAACTTTTCAGAAAAAATACAAAAAAATTTGGGAAAAAAGACATTTTTTTTTAAATTTTTAACATGTTTTTGGTCGGGTAAAATAAACTAAAACATTCTAAGAAAAATTATAATTATTAGTGGGGTGAAAAAATATAACATAATTTTAGCCAAATCGAAAGGGTCGGGTTCAAAAGTGGCCGATAGGGCGTGGAACGACCCATATATAAAATAACTATTATGAAATTTGTGTTTTTTTAACTCAATTGAGAGTAAATAATAATAACTTAACACAGGTAGTTGCACAAAAAACAGGCAAAAATAGGGCAACACCTTTTTTCTAATAAAAAAAATTCGTACAGGCCACCGCTGTTCTGGTTTTCCCCTTTACCCAGTTGGTCACCTTACTTTATAACAATTTTAATGGTTTTGAATTTTAAACGGCTTACCTTGAATTAAAAGAACTTGAAATAAAAAACGTAAACCATCCGAATTTTAATTTTATAAACTACTTTAAAATTAATTAATTTTTATATTAAGGTTGAATCTCCATTTCACGAAGACTAAATACTGGTCTCTAGCCTACATGAGTTTTAATAAATAAGTAACAGTCCTGGATTAGGCCTAGGCCTAGGTTTGGTCTAGGGTTTAGGGTAACAGTAGGCCCTGCAGCAAATTTAGCGGTGCCAATGTGGTAAAAATAAAACGTTGTATTTTAATTAACAAATTACTACTACCTTATTAAAATTAAAGTATAATTAAAAACTTAAGACAACATAAAACTTAAATAGGTAAAATTAAAAATTGTTAATTTGTTGTCACATTTTTGTGTTCTTTGAGTTGGCAGCACAAAATTTGAATTTAAAAAATGCGCTAGCTCGTGAGATACAAAATACAGTGGCGTATAAAAATTTTAATAAATTAAACTGATAAAGAAAAATGGGCCTTGGACTAAATAAATTAATGTAGGTATTATATATTTTTTTAAATTTTAATATTTCATGCATGTTTCAACATTTTGCTGTAGGTAATTAAAATAAAAATGCAATTTAGTATTTTAGGAATAAAAAAATCAAGGTAATTATTATATTTATGGTAGGTAGGTAAGTTTCTTAATATTTATATTGTACAGCGAAATCAACACTTTAAGGTGTAATTATTTAAATTTGTAATTAAGCTAGAGAAATTTGATTTTCTAAAAATTTATTTACACACTAAAATATGTATAGAAATGATTTTATTTATATTGATAAACAATTTTAATTGTTTTTAAACTAATAATAACATTTATTGACGCCATGGCTCTTGGGTTCACAATTTAAAGTAAAAAGGTCATTCTTTATAGTTATATTGTATTTTTTAGTGGTTATTAACTCTCTAGGCTTAGAACACATTTATTTACACAGAACATAAGTTTATTTAACTTGAAAATTAGGTTTTAGAGGCTTAAACCGAAGAAAATCCCATTTTGCTTGACCATCAAGCCTGGGCCAATAAAATCTCGAAAATAACACACAGCAACTAGATGAAAACGACAGTTATTTGGTCATTACGTCACGCGTTACCACTGAAAACTTTCAATTTACCGAAGTGAAATTACTTTCAAAAACCACGGTTTACAAATAAAATATGATAAAATGACTATTCCACATGATTGATAGTTTATAGGTTTTATTTTTTAAGTACTTACCGGTTATTATTAAGTAAATACTTTATGTTCTCCATGCTGGAGAAGAAACCAAAGAAACACACTCTCCAGAAGACTGTCGCGAATGTGAAATGTTTAATGCGGACTCAAGGCGCGATTGATGATGACCCAGTTCATGTAAAATGATCTTTCCACAGACAGTAAATAACTCAAATTTGATAAATAAACACGATTTTCTTTCACATAAATGCTGATATAGTTTCTATTTTTATTTTGCCACTATCGCAATTTCAAGTGACAGAGGTTAACGTTACTTTATTACCACAGAGAATTCTTGTTCTTTTGCCACTATACAGGGTGTTTGAAATGTTGAGGAAGTAAAAGTAATAAATAAGACGAAATTGAGGTTTATTTTGTTTTTAGATGTTAAACGGTTTTTAAGGTTGAAGAACCCAAAAATTTTATTTGTTAAGTTAAAACTTTTAACTTCTAATTCTAGAGGTCGCTAGTTATTGATAGAAATATTTACATTTTTGATTATAACGATTTTATTAAAAAATTATTTTATTGGTCAAGTCCTGAATATTTTAAAAACATTTTTATCAAGAAATGTTAGAAAACTAAAATCTGTGAAATTTACCGTTTTTATAAAAACATTAGGTAAGAATTGTTTTTTTGCTTTAATTTCCTTAATAGTCAACCAATTAACTTCAAATTTGGTGTAAATCTATAATTTTGCTACTCAAACTTTTGGCATTAAAAATGAAGGGTGCACTTCCTCCAAAATGCACCATTCACTAAAAGTAATAATAAAAGGTCATGTAAAAAAAGGAGATTTTATTTACACTACATCCACAGAACAAAACTTACTAATCTAAATTCATTTAACATTAATCCTTATAAACCTAATACTTTTTTAGTGTTTTTTTGATTAGAGCAGTTCGTTGTTTGTGAGCGTCGGTGGTCATGCTTCTCTTGTAAGGTCTCAACTCGTCTGTGCCGAAACCAGGGGTCCACATGTTGTAATTTCTGTTCAGGAAAAGTTGCACATCCTTAACCTCAATTGTGTTGACGCGGCGGTTTTTTGCTATCATTGCTGCACCTTTGAGGCAGCGATCTACAAATTGGTCCACGTAGCTGAGAATTACTTCTTCGACTTCTTCTTCTAGGTTAAGTGATGGGTCTGTGTCCCGAACCAAATCTTGCAAGCGTTGTTTGGTGAAAACTTGACCAGAACTGTGATCTGTGTTATTTGAGTGATGAACGTTGTTATGGTTGTGAATATTCTTTGTAGGACTGCCTAAAAAATAATTAAAATATTTTACAGGCATTAAAGTAATAAATATTAAACTCAAAATATACCTGAGTGTTCCATATTTGAATTAGGATGATGCAAAGCGCCTTGTTGTATACCATTATTCGCATTTACGTTCGTCATAATGTGTTGCTGGAGCTGCCCTTGATTTATTACGATATTTTGTGGCAGAATATTGTTTGTTATTGGCATATTCGACATTTTTTCTGCATATAAACACCACAAAACATAAATATAAATGCCAGGTATATTTGTCAACAAAATAAGGTTATTGACATGACGTGAAGTTAGGCGCGAAAATATGTCAGGGTATTTTTATTTATGTTTTACGCCTTTTTCCTTTATTTTTTCACGATTATGATTGTTTATGGTGTATTTATATTATTCGTATAAATTAAAAACACAAGAATTTGATATAAATAATGGTTTTTCCGAAAAGTAGTTCAAATATATCACAGTTGGCAACATTGTTGAACAAATACGAGGGTTATGCAAAACGTTTTAGAATGTCAATAATTTGTTGTTTTTTAACTTTTTTCAGCTTAAAATAATAAAGTATGGGTTGTTAAACGAAGCATATGCTTTATTTTAGTGAATTGTACCGTTTTAAAGTAATTACTAGTTCTATAAGTGGTTAACAAAGAAAAATAAATGGGTGTTTTTGAAAAATAACTTTGTTCAAGTTGAATTTATAGAGTAAAATGAGTACTTTAACGTTGGGGGAGACAAATGCTTTAACCCTTGAAATCGGGCCCTTTGAAATAGTGCATAGATGGAGACGTATGCCGGAATGTGACGAATTTGTAGGGGCAAGGTATTTTTACTTAAAATTTGCTATAGAAATAAAACTCTCACCTAAAAACGTTGTTTAAGGCGGAGTAAGCATACCGTGGTAGCCTACAAGGGTGCCATATACGTATTCGGCGGTGACAACGGTAAAACAATGCTCAACGATTTATTGAGGTTCGATGTCGATGAAAAGTCCTGGGGGAGGGCTTTTGCGACCGGTTCGCCCCCCGCACCAAGATACCATCATTCAGCAGTGGTGCACAATACTTCGATGTACGTTTTCGGGGGCTATACAGGCGATATTCACTCAAACTCAAACTTGACGAACAAAAATGATTTGTTTGAGTATAAGTTCAATTCTGGGCAGTGGGTTGAATGGAAGTTTGTGGATCAGATTCCAGTGGCCAGGTCTGCTCATGGGTCTGCGGTTTTCGATAATAAGTTGTGGATTTTTGCTGGGTATGATGGAAATGCAAGGTTGAATGATATGTGGACCATACCTCTTGTTGTAAGTACTAATTATTTTGAATTAAAAAAAATATTCATTATTGTTTTATACGTATTTTTATATAATTTAGGTAGTGGTAAATCTTTTTTTGTATATTATTCCCTATTAATAACAATAATTTTAACATGGGTTTGACTTTAATTTAACACTTTTTAACTTTGAACATCATTTTGCGATTAAATGCTAGATTTTGTAAATTAGAGTTTTTCCTGTAATTTTATTTACATAACAATGTGTAAGTTTTATTGAAAATAACATAAAGTTATTTTTTTGTATACGGAATTTTATTATGTTGGTATTGTATGAAGATTAATTTTGATATTTAAAAAAAAAAAAATTGGTACTGCTGTTCAAGCCCTTAGTTTTAAATACTTTGACATTTAACTGTCAGAAGTATAAGAATGCAAATTTGCTCCTTTTGGTCCTTATTTCATCAAAGTTAAAGTTATTGCATTTTTGACACCTTATATTTGACATTTTAATAGGATATTAAAGAGCTAATATAATAAGACATTTTGTCTCAAAAGGAAAATTTATGTAATGGACGAGTGCGACTAAAGGTCTTATGACATGAGTTCTTTATGCTATTTTATCCATTTTGCAAAAATTCTATAAAAAAATTAATTTTATACCTACCTTATATTTAATTTGGTCGAATTTTACTTTAGATAGTTGGTATCACAGTCATTGGCGTCCTTAATTTACTTATTTACAATAAGTGGCTGTTAAGGTTAAAGAAGAAAAAAAGGATTTTCTTTGGTGTTAAACAAAATTTATTGCCAGAGAAGTCCCGTAAGTACTAGAAAAATCATAAAAATATTATAACCAATATGCAAAATATATAATAGGTCTATAAAATCAAAATTTTGGGTGGGGTAAAGTACCTCATTACAGCACCGAAAGCGGTGTTACAATCAAGTCATTATAACCGCAAAATAGATAAAATATATATACTTATAATTATAACATAACCACAATTATATTCTCCACTAAACTATATAGTTTGTTTTACTCAATGTAGCCAATTATAAGTTTAGGGTCCCTAGAATTTTCAACTAAACTACGAATAAAAAAAACGTCAAATTCCGACTAAAAAAAACAAACTACTTAAACTACTTAAATTTGGGGGTTTAGTTTAGCAAATTCTAGGGACCCTAAATTTATAATTGGCTACATTAAGTAAATCAAAATTGTTTGGTGGGTGTTTTGTTTTTTAAAATTTCTTTCCGTTAAGAAATTTTTGTTATTGTTTATTATAATTTTAACAATGAAATACTCAGGGCCGAGCCGTGCCGGGGGTGCAAGGGGTGCATGGCACCCGGGCGGCACTAACACAGGGCGGCAAAATATCATCAAAAAAATTGTATCATATTATCAAGAATAAAAAAGCCACCCTGCAATATGCAAAAAACTTTCTAAAAATCACGTTTTATTGATGTCGCCGTTTCAAGGAATCATCGTTTTTATTCTGCACATAAAAACAATGCCAAAATTGTGCTGTCAGGCGGCAATGCTAAAAAAGACATAACCGAACGCGCGATAGCCACAAAAAATGATGACAAAGCCCGGTTTATAGATTGCCGCCCGCCCGCTTCGCTTTCCGTCCGTCCGCTTCGAGTTCGTCAAGTTTCATGTTTTACGGAAGCGGGCTTACGGGAAACCAATTAAATCGCGCGCTGTGTACCACGTGATATTGTTTACAAGCTGAACTGTTAAGTTAAAGCATAATTTCTTCCGATTTGACGGCTGCGTATTTCAGCAATTTTTAGTTTTTCTATTAACTTGAGGCAAATAGGATGCAAACATAGTAGTTTCTTTTGTCTTTTAATGCGTTTAAGTTAAAAACTAGTTAATGATTTAAAAGGCTTCTTTCCGAATTTATTTGTAGCTTTAAGAATATTTTTGACGATGCCAGTTACTGTTGCCCATGGAGAGCGGTCATTTTCGAAATTAAAACTAATTAAGACCGATTTAAGATCCAATATGAGTCATTTCAAATTTAGCAATTATAAGTATTGAAGAAGATATTTCTAACAACTTGGATGTAGGCGACTTGATTAGGGAATTTGCTATTAAAAAAGCGAGAAAAGTAGATTTTAGTTTTTTAGTTTAGTTTAATTATTTTTGTTTTTTTTTCCTGAATGTATTTTTATTTTATTCTTTTATGTATTTGTTAATAAATACTTTGTTATTTTACTATAAAATTTGTTATATGTTTATTGAGAATGATAAATTATGAAATCCTCCCCTACCGACAACCTAATTTTTTACATTAATGGGGGCGGCAAATTTAATTCTTGCACCCGGGCGGCAGATACCCTAGGCTCGGCCCTGGAAATACTAATTGCAAAGTAAAACGAACGGTTAAACAGGAGTACCAATTTTAAATATTATAATATACAGTACCAACATAATCAAATATGTCAAATTCCAAATAAAAAAACAAACTGTATATTAAATTCAAAAACTAGTTTATTTTACCCTTAAATAAGGGGCCGTCCAAAAATTTCGTTACGCTTATACAGGGTGGTCCAGGATTAATCTGAAAAATTTTAATGATCGATAGAGCCTGAAAAAACAATAAAAACAAACCCAAAAACGTTTTTTTAAAATACACACTAACACACTAATAGCCCTTCAAAGGCAAAAAAATGTTTTTTTAAATAACTTCTGCTCAAATTTTGTGTAGGTAAAATTTCTTACAAAAGGTCCAGCGGCGGAGATTTTGGAGGGGTTTCCCCTTTTTACCCCCATATTTCGACACCACTGGATTTTATTGGAAAGTCATCAGATTTCTTATTCAATTTAGAAGCAAAACTTGTGTGTTAAATTTTCATAAGAAATTTGAAAAACACCGAGTACACGAAATTTTATCATTTTTTATTTTAAATCGGTAACTTGGTAACAATTATGCCACGTTATCAGTTTATAAAATATTATAAAAATAAACTAGCGTCCAGGAGTCATCGTGCAGTTGTTACTGATCCCGTCATATTTTTAGGTTGTTTTATTGTAACGTTGATTGAGGATTACAATCAACGTCTGTAATTAATAATTTAATTATATAATACAAAATCAAACCAACCCAAAAACCACCCTATTGAAAGCGATTATTCCATTATTTCATTGGTAAATTTTTATTGGCCCAATACAATCGTTCAGAAAAAAAATAATTTTTTATTACTAAAATAATAACAAAAGTTCCGTGTACACAGTTTTTGAAATTTTAAACTGAAATATCTCCGAAACCATTGATCTGATAAAAAATAAACATAAAAGTTTTGCTTTTAGATTGAAAAAGGATAAAAATAAATCTGATTATTTTCTAATAAAATCCAGTGGCGTCGAAAATATGAGGGTAAAAAGGGGAAACCCCTCCCAAAATCTCCGCCACTGGGCCTTTTGTAGGAAATTTTCATTATATTATCGACGAAAGTTTAACCTACACAAAATTTGAGAAGAATCGGATTAATGGTTTAAACATTATTTTGAAGGACTATATCTCCGTTAGTATGCATTTTTGAAAAATGTTTTTGGGTTTGTTTTTATTGTTTTTTCAGGCTCTATCGATCATTAAAATTTTTCAGATTAATCCTGGACCACCCTGTATATATCATCACATTCTGTCACAAGGGAGGGGGTCAATTTAGACCATTTTTAGCGTCAAGAGATTTATGGACGACCCCTTAACACATTGCGTGCCACGTCTGACATATGTGACAGACAGTGCTACTTCCTGAGGGGCCATGTCTGTCATACATGCAAGACACAATTTTCACTACCAGGCCGCGTCTTGCAGATATGCTAGACGCTACACGCTTTATCTTATGGGTTATTAATTTGTGGCCTGCCACGAACATTTTGGTATATTTGGTTCGAGCAAATTCGGAAAATTACTATTTTTTTTTCGATGATTTCTATGATTTAGCAATAATCGCTCATGGCCCCCTAGGATACTTTCTAAATATACACGTGGCACGCAATGTGTTAAAACTAGTAAAAGTAACAAAAAAAACATTTTTAAGGGGGATACTAGAAAATGGGAAAAAATAAATCAGAAAGGAGAATGCCCCCCAACGTGCTGTAATTTTCCAGTGGCCGTCGCTAGAGATTGTATGTTTGTATTCAGTGGACAAAGTGGGGCCAAAATTACAAACTCCCTATTCCAGTTCAACTTTAGAGATAAAACGTAAAAAAACAAGACATTTTGCGAAATGGTACTAAAAAAAAAAAAATTTTAGCTGGACTCGAATCTCCACGGAACACATCCTGCGCCACAGTCCGCCGCCCCCCGCCCGCCGCTACGGCCACACCATGGTGGCCTACGACCGCCACCTCTACGTTTTCGGGGGCGCGGCGGATTCCTCCCTGTCCAACGACCTTCACTGCTTCGACCTCGACAGCCGCACCTGGTCCGTGGTGCTTCCGGCGGCGGAGTCCTGCCTGCCCTCGGGCCGCCTCTTTCACGCCGCGGCGGTCATCGGTAACGTTTCTATGGCACGCCCTTTTAGCATTTATTAGGTTATAGTTTGAAGGTTAAAATTTAGCACTTTAAAGCCGGATTTATAGTTCTAAAAAGTAGGAGTAGCAGTAGCAGTAAGCCAGTGTTACCAATATAATAATAAAATAAAATGTCTTCATAAATGTCTGCAGTGTGATTGGCTGGAGTAGGAGTAGCAGCAAGAAAAGTTAAAACTTGACCATCTCTTACGCCAACGACCTTGGTTGCTACTAAAATTCCTAAAATTTGGCTTAAATCTTAAATTCTCCTAAAAATGCCATCAATCTCCTAAAACTCCTAAAAATAAATATAAATAGTTAGAGATGTAAAACAATGGTTTTTTTTCAGATGTGAAAAAAAAAACATGAAAAACAAACTAGAAAAAAACGGATTTTTTCAAATCCGCTGCAATAAAGCATATTCTGTCAATAAATAACATTAATCTTAAAAAATGGAGTAATTTTTCAAAATGAAATTTTGAGTAAAATGTATTATTAATAATAAAGTGAAATATAGAATAAATTACATTTTTCATTATTGAAAATTTTGACCGAGACTAAAAAATCTGATTTCTTATTATTTGGTAGTTTCCACATAAGAAACCAATAGCAATTTAAAACTTCTACACTAATAGAAAAAATTAAAGGATAAAAAAAATTCCAAATTTTTTGCGATTTTTCGGATAGCTGTATCTTCGTTAAAAATGTTCGTATTGGAGCCGTAAAAAAGCAATTTGAAGCTTGAAGCTTCTAGTTTTGAGATTTTTAGATAAAAAACTAGCAACGCTCAATCCTAACGAATACCGTACCTAATAATTTTTTGGCCTTAAGAATTCTTCTTTGGTCCACGGTATGTTCTGACTTAACCACCAATGAATAAATGTTCTATAAGAATTTGCTATCGTTTTTTTTTAATTTACTATTCTACATGAATTTGAAAAATCATGAAAAAAAGTGTTTTTTTAGCTTTTTGAAAACTCAAGCGCTGAATCAAAAATATTATAGGTAGTTCAAAACAAGTAATTTAAAAAATATATATTTTTAGGTTCTGGTTTATTAAATTCTTTTTAAAATGATATATTACAACCTACATTATTCTTAAAAAAATATACCTAAAAACAAAATCCAGAAGCTTCCAGACTTTTAGCCATATTTTGTTTGTTTTTTACAAAAATATACCAAGTTATATATCAAATAAAGGGATTTTAAATTTTCTTTTAAATAATAGGTAAAATAGTAAACAAGTTGTTTTTATTTAATTACAAAAATTCATTTGCATACTATATTTCTCCTAAAATTCCCAAAAAACCTCCCAAATTTTTAAAAATTAATATTTTTTAGCTTAATGTTTTACAGTTTTATTTTATATTTAAAAAAGCATCAATTGTTTTGAGTTTAAAAAAATTAACTTTTAAAACTATTTTGGTAGAAAAAGTTATATTTGTTTTTATTTTCAATGTCTTGACATGTCTTGAAGTACTAAAAAATTTAACTTTACAAATTTTATCTAAATAATTCTATAAAATATTTATTTAATATGTACAAAATTCTGCTCAAATAAATTATACTTAAGAAATTATTTTTATTAAAAAATTCTTGTCTTTCAATACATGATAGTAAAAAATATTTTAAATTAATAAATGTTAAAACGGCGTGCCATACGTTTCTTTGTTATTTTTGTAAACTTACAGAATTCTCATCGTGTAAATTACAATTAGACGTTTAATTTGTAATTTTACACTATAGGAATGTAAATTTACACTTTTTGTGTAATTTTAGGCGCCGCAATGTACATTTTCGGCGGCACCATAGACAACAACGTACGCAGCGGCGAAATGTATCGTTTTCAATTTTCCAACTACCCAAAATGCACTCTAACCGACGATTTCGGCCGCTTTCTGGAGTCCAGGCTTTTTACGGACGTCCACTTTTTGGTGGGTCCAGAGGAGAAGAAAATCGAAGCCCACATGGCCTTCGTAGCCTCCAGAAGCAGTTATTTAAGGAACAAAATCAAGCAGGCCAAGGAGAGTCGTGACGGCAAATTGCTGGAGACTGAAGCAGGTCAGAAAATGTTGCTTTTTGAGAGAACTGTTTGAGATAGAGTTTCGAAAATTTAAGGAGTTGTTAAGAGATGGTTGAAGAATATTTATTCCAAATTTAAAGATCCTAACATGTAAAGCTTGAAATATTTTTTCTGTTTATTTTCAGGTTCAACAAACGATCTACCAATTGTGGAAATAAAACTTCCTGACGCGAATCCCGACGCGTTCGAAATGATCCTAAACTTCATCTACACGGATCAAATAGACCCGACAAAGTGCGCGAAAGAGGGCGAAGATCCCTTCAGCAACCGCATAGTTCTGCAAATGATGGACGTGTACAGACTTGCCGTGCAATTCGACATGGTGCGACTCGAACAGCTGTGCATACAGTATCTGAACAACACCATCAATTTGAATAACGTGCTGGATGCTCTCCACAACGCCGACAATTTGGAGCTGGTGTTCATCAAAGAGTTCTGTTTGAGGTTCATAGTGAAAGAAGCGAATTTCAACGAGTTGGTGATGAGTCCTGAATTCGAAGGGTTGGATAGAAAGTTGATGGTGGAGATCATCCGCAGGAAGCAGACGCCCCAGAAAAAGCAGTCGAACAAGGCGACTTTCGAGGGGGTTGGGAGTTCGTTGCAGGAGGACATGAGGAATTTTTTGAAGCACAACGGAAAGGAACTGTGCGATATCGAGTTGATTCTCGATGAGGAATCGATTCTGGCTCACAAGACCATCTTGGCGGCTCGTTGCGGGTATTTTGAGGCCATGTTCCGCTCATTCATGCCCGCCGATAACAAAATAACGATACAAATAGGCGAAATAATACCTTCAAAGGACTCTTTCAAGTCGCTGCTGCGTTTTGTTTACTACGGCGAGGTGAAAATGCCTCCGGAGGACTCCCTTTACCTCTTTTCAGCCCCTTTCTTCTACGGTTGCACAAATAACAGACTGCAAGCTTTCTGCAAACAAAACTTGGAGATGAACGTCACTTTCGAGAACGTGATACAAATCTTGGAGGCGGCAGATAAAATGCAGGCCGAAGATATGAAGAAATACGCCTTGGATATGATTGTGCACCATTTACCAAAGGTTGTTAAACTGCCTGGTCTAAGAGTGCTCACCAAAGAGCTGATTTTGGATGTAATGGATGCCATTGGGGATGTATTGAATGACGGAGAGTGGGGTGTCATTATAAGACCCAAGAAGAATTAAATATTTATATTTTAACATTCTAGTTTGTACTTTGTATATTTTACTTGTAAGATTTTAACAACATTTATGGACTTGCCATGCAATTAGACATTATGCGACTTGAACAACTATGCATACAGTATCTGAACAACACCATCAATTTGAATAACGTGCTGGATGCTCTCCATAACGCCGACAATTTGGAGTTGGTGTTCATCAAAGAGTTCTTTCTGTTTGAGGTTCATAGTGAAAGAAGCGAACTTCAACGAGTTGGTGATGAGTCCTGAATTCGAAGGGTTGGATAGAAAGTTGATGGTGGAGATCATCCGCAGGAAGCAGACGCCCCAGAAAAAGCAGTCGAACAAGGCGACTTTCGAGGGGGTTGGGAGTTCGTTGCAGGAGGACATGAGGAATTTTTTGAAGCACAACGGGAAGGAATTGTGCGATATCGAGTTGATTCTCGATGAGGAATCGATTCTGGCTCACAAGACCATCTTGGCGGCTCGTTGCGGGTATTTTGAGGCCATGTTCCGCTCATTCATGCCCGCCGATAACAAGATAACGATACAAATAGGCGAAATAATACCTTCAAAGGACTCTTTCAAGTCGCTGCTGCGTTTCGTTTACTACGGCGAGGTGAAAATGCCTCCGGAGGACTCCCTTTACCTCTTTTCAGCCCCTTTCTTCTACGGTTGCACAAATAACAGACTGCAAGCTTTCTGCAAACAAAACTTGGAGATGAACGTCACTTTCGAGAACGTGATACAGATTTTGGAGGCGGCAGATAAAATGCAGGCCGACGATATGAAGAAATACGCCTTGGATATGATTGTGCACCATTTACCAAAAGTTGTTAAACTGCCTGGTCTGAGAGTGCTCACCAAAGAGCTGATTTTGGATGTAATGGATGCTATTGGGGATGTATTAAATGACGGAGAGTGGGGTGTCATTATAAGACCCAAGAAGAATTAAATATTTATATTTTACCATTCTACTTTAACTTTGTACTATGCATATTATACTTGTAAGATTTTAACAACGTGTATGGACTTGCCATGAACTTAGACATTATGCTACTTGAACAACTGTGCATACAATATTTAAACGACATCATAAATTGGAATATTGTACTGGGTGCTCTCCATAACGCCGACAATTTGGAGTTGGTGTTCATCAAAGAGTTCTGTTTGAGGTTCATAGTGAAAGAAACGAATTTCAACGAGTTGGTGATGAGTCCGGAGTTCGATTGGTTGGATAGAAAGTTGATGGTGGAGATCATCCGCAGGAAGCAGACGCCCCAGAAAAAGCAGTCGAACAAGGCGACTTTTGAGGGGGTTGGAAGTTCGTTTGCAGGAGGACATGAGGAATTTTTTGAAGCACAACGGGAAGGAACTGTGCGATATCGAGTTGATTCTCGATGAGGAATCGATTCTGGCTCACAAGACCATCTTGGCGGCTCGTTGCGGGTATTTCGAGGCCATGTTTCGCTCATTCATGCCCGCCGATAACAAGATAACGATACAAATAGGCGAAATAATACCTTCAAAGGACTCTTTCAAGTCGCTGCTGCGTTTTGTTTACTACGGCGAGGTGAAAATGCCTCCGGAGGACTCCCTTTACCTCTTTTCAGCCCCTTTCTTCTACGGTTGCACGAATAACAGACTGCAAGCTTTCTGCAAACAAAATTTGGAGATGAACGTCACTTTCGAGAACGTGATACAGATTTTGGAGGCGGCCGATAAAATGCAGGCCGAAGATATGAAGAAATACGCCTTGGATATGATTGTGCACCATTTACCAAAGGTTGTTAAACTGCCTGGTCTAAGAGTGCTCACCAAAGAGCTGATTTTGGATGTAATGGATGCCATTGGGGATGTATTGAATGACGGAGAGTGGGGTGTCATTATAAGACCCAAGAAGAATTAAATATTTATATTTTAACATTCTACTTAACTTTGTACTGCGATATCGAGTAGACGTCACTTATGAGAAAGTATTAATACTTACCTTTTACAATCTAATTTTATACTTACTTTTATAACGCTGGTTTGCAAGATTATGTAATAATGTAGACCAGTGTTACTGCTGTATATTCTATGAATTGTTTTACCGTAATTAAATTATATTAATAAATTAACCTATCAAATAAATAAATAAAAGGCATTTTTATAATTTATATTTAAATGATTAATTAAATACAATAAAACTATGCTAGTGATATTACCTTAAGGCTAAGGTGTTTTGTATAAAATAACTTTAAAAATACGCAAACATTTTACCTACTATCAAATAAATAAAGTGTTGTTGTGTGATCTTACAAGTTGTAATTGGTAAATTAACTTTAATAAACGTTACGCACGTTTAGTTATAATTTAAATCTACTATGTACAAAATATTAAATTATAATGTTTGTAAGAAACTGCGAGGATTTCTTAATAATTTCGTAGTATTTACAATATTCACCTAAACTAAAGAGCCAAATATAATTTAGTGTCATTAAAGTATACCAAAGATGGAGCCAACATAAAATCAGCCTAATACATTTTCCTATTGAGGAAGACTTAATATATAGGTTTATTGCTTTTATTACAATAAAAAGCAGTGTAAAAAACTAAAACAATTTAATGGGGCACTTATAAACAGTTAATGTTTTAATAAACTTTAAAAAAATGTTAATAAAATATTTAAAATTAATTTTAAACATAATTTATTATTATTGTTGTCTTCCCTCACTTCATACTGTTTATTATATGATGATGACGTTAGAATAAACAGTGTGAAGTGTGGGAAGACAAAAATAATTGATTTAAAACGTTTAACAGTGGACTGTCCCGCTTAAACAAAGAAAAAATAATAAAGGCGCACGCGATCCTATTAGTCCTGAGTCGAACGAAAATTTCGTATACCAAAAAAAAGTGATACTACTACCTCCTTAGAAAACAAGTTTGCGGACGACGTCATCATTTGGCGGCTTGCGCCACCTTGCCGTTCTTGGGCGGAGTGGGCGACAAACAAATGACGTCGTTGTCTTTGTCGTCGTCGACGGAGATGGGGCCGTTGTCCTTCTCCCACTCCTTCAGCACCGTGTCCAAGTTGTAGCGCTTGCGGTGGTTGACGAAGAACGTCCGCACGTGCGCCTCGGTCTTGTTGCCGAGCACCTCGGCGATCGACTTGAAGTCCTTGCCGTACTTCCGCACGCCCTGCACCGCCAACAGCAGCTCCTCGTTGGTCCAGCGCGCGTTGACCCGCGTCTGGCCGTCCGGCGCGCTAGCCGGACGCAGCTCCTCGATCGAGTCCGAATGCTTGCGCTTCAGCGAGCTCACGTTCTGCTTGTTCACCTGGATCTGCAACAATTGCAGAGTGCATCTCGTTAAGTTGCTGAATGCACGCAACCAAACTTGCATGGAAACACCCAGTACGAGGCCTTTCACAAATATTTACTGTCCGTTCAGGCTAAGTTGAGTGCCGCGGCTTGCCGTTTGTTCGTACAGAGCGGCTACCGAAATACATGTTTTAATTGTGCCTGAACATAGAGATGATGGACTGAGTGACATTCCTTAGACCGCTCAACTTAGCCTGAACGGACTCACTTCTCATTAAAAAAAATTATTTAAATTTAAAATTAATATATTTTATTTTTTACACGCTTAGAAGTCACATACAGTGTGACCCATTTGTTTGCAACTCACCCCTCACGGTGCTGTTCTGAGAGGTGATTTTTGGACTTTCTGTGAAACCTAATTTTTTTTATATTCTTGTTAATTAGGTCATAACTAAAATTTTAAGAGCAAAATAAAAAAAATTTGACGGTTAATTTTGTTTTAATTGGATGTTTATTAAAAATATGTATGCACACTTTCAATTCTCCAATTAAAACTTGCGATTTTATTTAAATATTATCATAACTTTTTAAATCAGATTAAAGATTAGTTAATTTCCTAAAAAAAGGTCTATACATTTTTTATATCTTTTACTGTTTTGTTGTAATACACGTTTAAAGTTTTAATTTAAGGTTAAATGTATAGTATACATTTATTAAACAATAATTCTAAGGGTGCCACATTTTATTTAGGGCCGATTTATTCATTTTTGATTTATTTGACGAATAATTTCTTTGGATACTAGATATTGCCAAGACATGAAAGTTATCGGCCCGATAAACTTTAAACCGGTCCTTAGTTAAATTTCATGAATTTCTTCGTAACTTTTACAACAATTTTTCATTTTTGTTTATAAAAAACACTTTAAAAAACTAAACAAAAATTATAGAATACGTATACTGAAAATGACAATTCAAACATCAAATAAATTTTTAATAGATCTAAGTTTCATGGCAACCTTTAAGGATATATTAATTAAGGGAACATAAATGTATACGTCAATGGTTAGATTAAAAGTTTGAACGTTTATTGCAACAAAACAGTAAAATATATAAAAAAAAATTGTAAAAAAACTTTTTTTTAGTTATGCAAATATTAAATATTTAAATTAAATCGCTAGTTTTAATTGGATAATTGAAAGAGTGCATAATATTTTTAATAAACAGCCAATTAAAACAATTTAACCCGTCAATTTTTTTTTATTTTGCTCTTAAAATTTTAGTTATGACCTAATTAACAAGAATATAAAAAAAATTAGGTTTCACAGAAAGTCCAAAAATCACCTATCAGAACAGCACCGTGCCCTGTAAAATCTTTTTTATTGTGGGATTTTAACCGGATTTCTTTTTAAGTGTAGATCTTGATATCTATATTTTTAAAGAAGTTGTATTTAGAGATGAATCCAAATTTTACGTGTGTGTAGGTTAGACTGGGCCAAAAAAATTGACTATTTTTTTTTTAAATATATATATAAATTTTAAGAAAAAATTGAAAATTTAAGTTTTTCTTCGATTTTAATCGTGAATAACTTTTGAAGAATTAAATTTAGGCAAAAATGTTAAGAGACCTTTTTTGTAGAACATTAAATTTCCTTTAAGAATCCGACGTGAGCTTTCTTAAATATTCATTGGTTCATTAGTTACAAAATTTCAAAGTTAAAAGGGCAAATCAAAAAAATACATCGATTACTCGGAAGCGGCTCGTCTGACAAAAATTTTCAATCAGACCTTTTTTGTAGAGAATTTAATTTTATATCAAAATAAGTGAAAAGAAATTTTTTACACTTCAATGTTTTGACAGTTCTAACGTAAAACATCAAATTATGACTAAAAATCAAAAATAGCGATGATAGACCTGTTAAATTTAATATTAAGGGCTCAAATTTTAACCAATTTTTTTTTGTCATTCTAAATGACATTCTCGATATATTTTTCAAAAAAAAATAGTCAATTTTTTTGGCCCAGTCTAGTGTAGGTGATTGTAGAAAACGAATTATTCGGGATAAAACTGAAGCATTCCATAAAGACTGTTTAAAAAAAACTGTAAAATTTGCAGGTGTATGTCTAGAAAGGGTGTGAAGCATATGAAAATAATAGATGGAGTAGTTAATGCAAATAAATATCAACAAATTCTACAAAACAGCCTTATTCCCAGTAAAAAAGATGGTAATTTTATCTTTCAACAAGATAGAGCATCAAGCCAAACTGCAAAAACAACCAAAAACGGTTTGAAGAACACAATATGAGAGTTGTCATGGCCTTCAAGTAGTCCAGACCTCAATATTATTGAAACCTTCTGACATGAAAAGTTATTTAAGAAATAACCCTTAAAGAACCACAAATGATTTGAAGAGATCTTTTGCACCATATTATTGTAGATCCTTAAAGGAATCCATGCCAGACAGAAAAAGAGCTGTTATAAAGGCCAAAGGAGATGTAACGACGTACTAAACCTTCAAATAAATGATCGTCCGAAGTTAAAGTTGCCAGGATAATTTTTTTTCTTCAATTGTTATTGTAAATAAAATCTTATTTTTGTATATGTGACTTTTAAGCGTGTAAAAAATAAAATATTTAAATTTGAAATTTAAATAATATTTCTTGAATGAAAAATGAGTAAATATTTCTGAAAATTGGTTGTTAGGGTTCGTAATTACGAAAAATATTATTTCACTTCAAAAAAAGTGATTTGGAAATAAAAAGCACTTTATCTGAACCTATTTTATTATAACAAATTTTCTAGAGAACAAATTACCAAAAATGTTAATTTCTCTGAAAATAGGTATGTATGTTCATTCTCAGGGAAACTCACATTTTTTTGTTATTTGTTCAATAAAAAATTTGTTTTAATATTTATTATCTTTTTTTTGTAATAAAATTGGTTACGATAGGTTTTTATTATTAATTCATTTTTTTAAGTAAAATACTGTTCTTGTAATTACTGGGTGATTTCATATATGATTGGTTGTGTTTATGTTCACTGTCCAACAGTCCCAACAAAAGGTATAATCTTAACAGTGTTGCCAGGTCTACTAACAAAATTATTTACACAAAATCGGTAAAAACTTACAAAAACATAAAAATTAACACGATTTTAGGATAATTTAGAAGGTTTGAAGACGTTTTTAGATTCAGTAAGTCTTTTATTTATTTATTTACGTGACTAAAGTAGTCCCTGAAATGCCATAGTAGAGCTCTGTATTACCGACATACCACTCTACCGTGACATTTCTGACTGGATAAAGTTTTAAAATAATTTTAATATGACCCAATCAAGACTAAAAAAAAGTTTTTTTTATAACTATAATCTAACAATCCAAAGCATTTCATTCACACACACACAACGTACTTACGTAATAATTCGGTGAGTTATAACAGTCATTTCATGCGGAGATTGACTAAGTATGTTTAAATAATAATAAACATAAAGAAAACGTGCAAAAAGCTAAGGCCACAAAAAATTGCAAAAAAGTGTACAAAAAAAAAACAAACAAAATAAAAACGGTTTTTAACCAGAACCACCGCCGCACTCTTGCTCTTATGAGAGGGGGTAATTTGGGTGGTATAAGTGTCATTCCATGGTAGAAAATTAATTAAAAAAAACAGCCTGAGAAATGCTTTATTTTAGAATGTTCTACCATTAATTGAAGGGAAAATTTCATAAGACATTTTTGGGAGTTGAAATATACATGATTACATACATGATTTATTAACATGACAACATTGAAATTTTGTTAATTTGTCCTACCATTTAATACAGGGTGTCCCAGAACTCGCGCCACAGAGAAAAAGGAAACGTCCGAATGTTATGCTAAACACATACTTGAAAATTAAAATTATCGAGCGAGATAAGAATAAAAAACGATAGGCAATCCCAATACATGGCCATAGGGAATTCTTTAAATTGCTAGGATACTTAGGATGCATTGTTGATATTGTAATATGTAAAATATTTATAAAAAATAAAAGTAAATACACGTGTTAAGCCTGATTTATAGATAGATGAACAATACAAAAACCGTTGTGCAGTTTATAGATTCCCGTACGGGAATATATAAATGGCACCACAATCCACACAACAAGGTCTGTTCTATCTCGTACTAAAAATCACTGCAACACTGCACAGTTTAACGGCGGCCATTTTTGTTGTTTACAATTTTTGTGTTTATACAGATTAATAATCGTTTTAAACGTTGTGTTTCTCATAGTAAGCCTTAAAAGAGTCCTTAAAGTGCTAAGACAACCATTTTACTCCTCCATTGTAAAAAATAAACTTTATTCTATCAGGGCTGTCATAATAATGATAGAATAAGGTATATTTATTATAAAAGAGAAGTAAAATGGTTGTCCTTAGCACTTAAAGGCCTTATTTGAGGCTCTGTAAGAAACACAATGTTTAAAACAATTATTAAACAGCACAAACCCAAAGCACAAGAATTGTAAACAACAAAAATGGCCGCCGTTAAACTATGTGCAGTGTTGCAGTGATTTTTAGTATTTATAGCATGAGATAGAACAGACCTTGTTGTGTGGATCGATTTTCGTATTGTTCATCTTTTACGGGAGAAAGGAAGAAAGGCAATCAGGCTTTAAACTGAACTTGAAGGCCGGTACCATTACGAAATTACGACAATTGAGCATAGGGCGTTCTCGTCAAGTTATAACGCGCGGACTGTACCTAGAATTTTTTGGCGACGTTACCGTTTTGCCTTTCGTAACGCCGTGGGTTCTGGTTTACCCGGTCCGTAAAGAAGTTTCACTCAAAAAAACAAATTAAAAAAATCTTATGGAATCTTCCCAACTTAGATACAAGATATAACATTTGAGAGAGAGATTTGGTGATCATGAGTCTCTTTTTGGTGTTTTTGTGGTTGTTGTTGCTGTTGTTGGTTGGTACTCACTTGTGTCTGCAGCGAGTTGACCTCCCGCTCCATGCCTCTGAGCATTAAGAGTGCGGCGTTGCCGCTCGCCATCGTCGCCAGATCGTCGT